AGAGAGAGAGAGAGAGAGAGAGAGAGAGAGAGAGAGAGAGAGAGAGTCTACATGCTTGATGCAAATCATAAATCAATTTTCTTTGTTTTTAACAATGATTCTTTTATTAACTATATGATAAAACGTCTATGTATTATGGGAATTCGTTTTTTTTTATTACATGAAAAATGAAATAATTATGTTTTTCAGTACAAGATTGTTGTAAATCACTGGCAGTATACTCACAGCTGTGTACTGAGCTGGATATGGGGTGATATTTTTGAAAGCCCACTGTATGTTCTGGTGCTGGGCAAGCTGCCTTGTGAAGTTACGGGACACGTGGCAGCACATCCTTAATATCCCATAGTAAGCAGGCAGCATACATCTGTTGAATATGACAACCTCTTGGTCATCATGGTCTGCACTGAAATAGGAAGACAAAGATGTATGAATACAGTTGAAGACAGATATCTTTTAATTCCATAACCTTTATCTAACTGGTAATATCTTTCCTCCTGTGCAATGCCTATTCAAAACCCTTCAATAATATATTTAGGTGTTATCACTGTCAATAATATAAGTAACAGTTGAGCTCCACATTTTCAGAACATAAATGCACAAAATAATATGATTAAATATCCTCAATACAATCTTACAGTATTATTTAATTAAAGTCACATATTCACTTATTATAAATGCCACGTGTAAACAATCCTGGAGAGAGTTAATTACATGTAAAGTAGTTTTGGGCACTTTTTAAAATCAGTATCACTTATTTCTATGTGCCATGCAAAATCTTACTGACCAACAACATTTATAATACATTAACCATTCAACTTACAATACAATATCACTAACAGTACAGTATCAGTATCATTTACAGTACAACAACAATGCAACTTATAGTGCACTTTCATTTGGAGTACAATGTCAATAACAGTACAACATCAATATCACTTACAGTATATAGTTAAATGCAATGTTCTTGGTGACATGAGGGTTGGAGGTGATGAGCCGTATGTTCTCCTGGGTCTCATTACACACCTGGTACCAAAACAACAGCAAGGCCTGCTTGTTGTGGTTAACTGCTATAGGGGGCTCTGACAGCTTGGGCTGGAAAAGCTGCCACAGGTCCAGGAAGAAAGGGGAAAACTGGAATATAAACAAGCGGGTGTAAATAATTCAGAGCATACCGTAAAGCTTCTTTGATTTGTCTGTAGCTGCAATTTTAAGCTTTTTTTCTCTGCTGTACTGGTCAAATCTTTGACTTTGTATTTAAACTGGTACATAGTCTTTTCTTCTGAGCAGTGCTGTGTTGCTTTTACAAATTCAACTGTTATGTGGATTACTTGCCTCATTCCCATGTGTAGACACCATGCAGTAGAAAATGTTATCTTCCCATGAGTTTCTCCTGTTTAGACACCAGGCAGTAGAATATGATATCTTACCATGAGTTTCTCCTGTTTAGACACCAGGCAGTAGAAAATGATATCTTACCACGAGTTTCTCCTGTTTAGACACCACGATATAGAATATGATATCTTACCATGAGTTTCTCCTGTTTAGACACCAGGCAGTAGAATATGGTATCTTACCATGAGTTTCTCCTGTTTAGGCACCAGGATAAAGAATATGATATCTTACCATGAGTTTCTCCTGTTTAGGCACCAGGATATACAATATGATATCTTACCATGAGTTTCTCCTGTTTAGACACCAGGCAGTAGGTCATGAGAGCAAAATAAGACATCAGCTGTGTGGTACTGTAGGTTGTGGCATCTGCATGGAAATAAAGATAATATCACTCAAATATAATCACTCTGATTAACAAAAAAATATTTCAAAAACTCAATATTACACAAAAAGTTAAAGATAATTTGGTTCATAAATGGCAGTCCTGGCAATGTATTTCTGGCTAATACGTATGCTTTCATTTTACAGACTAGAGTACTGAACATAACTGGGTATATGTACAGAAAAACTGTATATTATGCACCAATAAGCAGAAGTTGTAAACGTCTTAGGTATTATAAGCTTGTAACCATCAAGGTTAATGGTATTCTTCAGATTGATGCCTAAGTCATGAGTGTGGTCATGTCACGCTCACACACACATGCATAATAGCATGCCAACAATAATTTCCTCACCAACATAATGCTTGGCTTTGCTCAACAGTCTCAGGAGCTCCATGTATATCTGGTGCAGCACAGCCAGAGCCTCGTGACCCATCTACAACATATACATATTATATCATGCAATGCATGTTTTGTAATAAGTGTTTGTATCCCACATGAAAACTTTTTTTTTCCCAAATTCAAACAAGGAAAGTGAAAATTGTGTGCAAGCAATATGATATTGATTTTTCATCTTTACTTATTAATTAATTAATTTATTTATTCATTTTACATTTATTGGGTTATAATATGATTAAATTGTTATTTCAACTCACAGAGATTTCCTTGTGTGGACTGAGGATACTCCTGGCAGATCTGTAGGCCTGTCTGAAGTGAGGGCTGGGGACCAGAGACACCAACAGTAGGGCAGCAGCTGGGAACACAGACAGGAATAATGACTTTTAAACTATTTACTTAAAAATTGACTGAACAAATGCAGGGATTATGACTTTCATGAAATTTGCTTAAAAACTGACTATGTTGGAAAATAACACTGAATTAATTTTGTGACAATTCATGTGACAATTATGTGACAATTATAATAGTTCAAAGAAAGCATGTCAAACTATGTACCACAGTGTTTTAAAAATATCCAAACCAGTCAATCTAATATTAGGAAATGCCAAACAATGTTAGTTCATGATCAAAGTCAAAGATCACAGTGCAGGTGACACAATATAACAATGTTCTTCACATCTTTCACATTTCCCTTCTTTCCCACTCACCATTCCTGACCCTAGCATTACTGTGTGCCAGCAGATAGTGCTCCACCCACCCACTCATGTGCTGGAGGACAAAACTATGGGCTAGCTTGTTCCTGGTCACCTGGGTGGACATCCACTCCAGACACTGCTGGGGGCAGTACTCACACACCTGACAGGAGCAGGGGAAGGGTGAAAAAGAGGGGTAGATTGGTAATAATAATAATAATAATAATAATAATAATAATAATGATGATGATAATAATAATATATTTACTTATTTATGTAGAGTTTAAAGTCCATAAAAACATGTTCTGTAGATTTTACAATTACAATACAAAACTAAAATGATTATCTTAAATTGAAAAATACTGGTTTTAAAAGTAACAAGAAAAATGTCCAATTCCAATAATAATATGTTATACAACAAAATTTTTCAAAAGATAAGTTTTTAGTTCTTTTGTTAAATCATCTGCTGAGCTTAGGTTTCTTAGTTCTGATGGTAACAAATATGACAACATGGTACTGCAGACATTTGAAAACTCCACATTGTGTATCATTACTGTTGTGGAAGAATGATAATAAATGGTTGACAAATACATACACACATTATAAGAGTTCATGGATGCAATTATTTAATTTCAATTGAAAACAAAACCATCATAAAATAGGATTGTTTTACTTACATCCCAGAACTTGTGCAGCACATATTGTGTAAAAGATGGCATCCCGGGTGGTCCCCCAATAAACTCCACCAACATAGACAAGATCTTGAAGAATGGCTGAGCATACTGGAATCAGAGGAAAAGAAACTGCACATGGGCATGAATTCACAAATCAAAAATTTAATGAGGACATGACACAGTATCAAATCATTTCATATCATAACATATTACAGAAAATAATTTAATATGGAATCCTGAATTTATCCAAGAAAAAGAGACAAGAGCAGAAAAATAAGACATGTTTACTAATTTACCTCCTGGTTCAGCTTAGTAATGGCAGTGAATATCATGTGTATGGTCTGAAAAGAGACAAGAAAAAAAATTACCCCTGAATTCAAATTAGGAATTATAATAGTTTTAACTTTATAAATGTATGCTTGCATGCATCTTGTGTAAACCTACACTCATATAAACACTTTAAAGATCTTTTTGGGTTAACTTGTACAGCCAACTGGTATGTCAAAATTCAAGCTTTATTCCTTGCATACACAAAGAAACATCTATATTCTCACCTGAGCAGCAAGTCTGTCATTCCACCTGCACAAACTGAAGATAAGGTTACAGGTTTGGCGCAGGTTAATACTGTCTCGGATTTGACTAAACAGGAACGGATAGCCCTGAAATAATCCACAGCAAGTTTCAGAACAAAGAAAATGTAATTATGATTAAGATATAATCAAAATATGCCATTTATAAGTTCAATTTTCATTTTAAATGTGTTCTCATTAAAAGGTGATCTATTTCACTGACCAAAAACATCACTCTAGCAAAAAAAGTTGCAATGACTTTCAAATAACCTTCAGCATTTTCAGAGTAACAGGTGTGGATTATGCACTTGTGTAAGGAGTGGCAGTTCATAAATCACTTTTTCTTGTTTTTGTTAGGTGAACTTGTGTATTGTATAATTGTTCTACTATTAAAAATTCCTATTCAGACAACCTGACACATCCAGAAAAAAACTTTGGCACAAACAGTTAACATGTATTTCATCAACCTGTTTCATCTTTACTACCTTTCCTCCAAGAAGAGCATTGTAATCCTTTTCCAATAGATGGAGCTGGTTGTCCTCTCCTCTTGCACTCTCCACCAACATGGCAATGAGATTGATCATTTTGTCTAGAGATGGAGGACGGTACTTTCCCTCAGACAGGGTTATCACTTCTTCTTCCTCATCTTCATCTGATAGGATCTCAACCTGTAAATTGGGGTAATGTGAGATGTTTTTTTTAAATATATAATTTTCACAAATTATAATACACTTCATGAGACAGATGAAAACAAAGCTAAGAAAATATCTCTTTATAATCTGGTATAGAATTAAAGCCTGTACATTTCAAATATGTCAGTAACTTAACAAATTTTTAACATTTTAATGGTATTTGGCAAGGTGGCAGTGTTTATTACACAGAACATAACCCATACTCACATATTGTTCTTGAGATTTCTGTCCCAGATAGAAGTGGATCAGGGTAGAGATAGCACCAGTGTTGAGCAGGAACATCTTCTCTTCTTCTCCCATTTTGGCAAACTCACACAGGAAGGCAAAGTACTCTGTCAGGTGCTTGCTGTTGGGACGAGCACCTTGCTCAGTCTGAGGTGATTGATGGAAATTATACACATAAATAGTAGATTCATACATGGACAAGAGCAATGAAAACAATTTATTTCTAAATGCTAACTTCTTCCCCTCACCAATCTCTCTCTTTCTCTTTCACACACACATACATGCACAGTGAAACAGGACAACTTACAATGGCAAGCATATTTCTGATGAATCTGGTCACACATGACTTGCTTCCTATCTTGTCCACATCAACTTCATCACTAGAATGGAAAATATGAATGTAAGTCAAGAGATAGCATATGATATTCTGAGAGTAATTTTGGACTTTAGCAATACTCTTTGAAATATCCAGTTAGTATAAGAAAAACAATAAATCTCTGTTAATGATACTGGGGATAAAGTAGGATATATTGGAAAGTGAAAGTAGACCTACTGCTCACCTTTCTCCTAATGGCAACAAGTACAAACTAACATGAACTGGCTTGAGCTGTGTTATCACATGTATAAGTAATCTCTGAAACATCTGGAAGAAAAAATTGTGTTTAAACAATTCTCCTTAAAAAAGGTTGTGTGTGTGGGTGGATATGTTTCTTTTCAGTGGGTACCTTTTACATCTGAATTTATCAAAAAAAAATTGCCCACTAAATATGGGATCTTTGTGATTCTGTTTCATAACAGCAACCATAATCTGTTGATGCTGTAGCATAACTCACCTGTCTAACTGTTTGGTTGGGGCATTTGATGAGTATTTGCTGTGGCCACCAGTCATCTTCAGCCATGGTGTCCAGGAACCACTGTAAATAAATAAATAAATAAATACCTGTAAACATGACATGATCTTCTTACTGCCTGTAGGATTTGTATTTGATTGAGTATTCGAGGTAATTATGCATATCTGTTAAAATTTGAAATTGGGTTCCTAATAGATAATATTAAATAAATATTTTATAGACTAATCAACAGTTTGAAGATAAATAGATTGAAATGTCATCTTTTTCCAAGTGGAAAATCTACCCACCTCACAAGCTGCATGGCAAGAATTGAACTGTTTGGTCAAAAGCTCTATCCACTGCAACATAGTTGGCTGGAAAACAAAAGGGCAAGGGACTAAGTATATATGTTCTTTATAATACATTAACTGCAACTAGTTCTTTTACAAAGCTAAGCTACGATAAACAAAGTCCATTAACTGCAACCAGTTCTTTATAAAAACAATAGCTCAGTTACAACAAACAATGTATCTAAATGCATTTTTAATATAGCATTGTAAGCGAGGTGTTTATCATTATCAGAAAAAAAAACTAATCAAAAGTAATGCCTTAAGGCTATATTTCCTCACCTTTTCTTTGGCATGAATGAAAGTTTCCAGCACAAAAGATGTGCTGAGTTTGGCAGCGAGTAAAGGAACCTCTGGATTGTCCTTGGGTAGGGTTGTAGGGAGATAGGCACAGATCTGCCACATGAACCTGAATAATGCAACAAAAATATTGCAATATAACAGTCAGCCTTTAAGGTTAGAGTATGGTTCAAATGATGAGGTATCTTGAATGTTACACAATATGGAGTGATCTAGTTCTGTTTATATCACTATAGCGGCATACAGTCACACATGTGCTCAAAAATTAATAACAGCTACATATTATGGGTATATTTATAATGTGCAATCTACATGAGAACCATTTTAAAATGGTTTAAAAATGAAGAAAATACCAGATTTTTCTTACCCAAAATATGTGTGTTCAAACAAGTTCTTGTCTTGGATAAACTGTTTATTATCCTGCCAAATCCACTGGAGGAAAAAAGACATAATATTAATAAGAGCCAAATCACCAACAAATCATACAATTTCTGTCAGTTCATTTCAAACATTTCTAAGCATCAATCTACTCACTATTCAGTTCCTTACATTTTCCCTTTATGAAGCAAGTTCATAGTCTACAATGTTCATAGTCTAGAGGCTAGAAGCTGTACTTACATCTGCCAGTTCCTTGCCTAGCTCAAAATTAAACCTTGGTAACACAGTCTGCTCCACCTGTACATTAGAGGCCTGGGGCTTCATTCTCTCATAAAACAACATGTATGCACTGTTGGTCTAAAAGATGAACATATTTAACATATCAGCAGTTTTATTTTTCTTCTTCTAAATAACTTCCATTTCACAGTATGTCTCATAAGCCAATTAAACAATTTATTTGACTTTAGGGGATACAGACATGCCTACAACAAATTGATATTTAAGAATGTCTTCAGTGAACCATTTTAGATCTGACTGATAATTGCAAGTTACCTTTTCAAAAGAAAAGTCCATAAACTTGTCTGTCATGGTATCATAAGTCTTGCTCTGAAACGAGATAGTGATATGCAAAATCTGGAATTGAACAGTATTTATAGGGATATTTAAAGTCATTAATTTAAAGCCCAAAATCTAACTGAAATATTCAATAGCATATATTTACAGAAATAATTAAGAATAACTAGTGACAATACATTCTTTTGAAAGGACTAAAATCTATAAATGTATCTTTAAAAGATTTTTTAAATGTTCAAGTATAAATATTCTTTAAAATCTAGTTCTTAATCATATTGTAAACTGCATGTTCTAGGTGTGAAAGATGTCATGGTGAAAAATCAAAATATATATTTTATTTACTGTCATTTCTCCTCCAAAGCACTCTGTGGCCAGCTGGGCAGGATCAAATGGTTTCACTTCAGCATCATTAAAGAGATACCTGAATTATGAGACAAAATACAACTTCTTAGTGAAATTTGACTTAATAAAATTCTATATCCCCAAAGGTGGAAATGGACCAAAAACAAAAATTACTTTTTCTTTTAAAATGTTTCTATTTTTCATGCATCTCTTAATCACACAATCTCTTAATTTATTTATTTATTTATTTTTTTTTTTTTTGAGGGGGGGGGGGGGGCAATATTGTCTTAGGATAAAAAATCAATATTTAAATCATCCAGTTATTATATCTGAATAAAGTGGGCTCAGATTTGTAACCTCTTCCTACTCACCATCTATCCTGACCATTATCAGACTGGTGGACCCTGTCCCTGATAAAGCTATAGTAATGGCCACCATCTGCTGTCCCTGTATGAACAGTCACTCCAATCAGTTCATAGTCATAACCTTCCCTCTCGGCCTCTGTGTCACTGTCTGTTTCTTCCTCCACCTTGTCCTGGGGTTTCTTCTCCACATCCTCATCTGTAAATAATACAATATATAAATAGACTTCTTTGGTAAAAGTTCATAGTTTAAAAATGACCTCTCACCAAGTATGACATATAATACTACTTTTAGCTCTAGCTGATCCCAACAAAGCATTTTCTTTCATACTCAAGGATTTTCTATTTACAAAAAATGCTTTGATTGGACCATTTCTTCAAACTCAGGAAATTTCTATGAACTAATCTTTTCCTCTCTACTCCCATTACACACTTTTTTCACATTCAAGTAAATTTCCAAGAAAAGGCTTCCTCTCTTTGGTCTCATGAAAATATCATCCTTTTTAATTTCAGGGAATTCTCTGGGGACCCACCTTTTGCTCTTTCTGGTCCCATCAGTGTCTTCTCCATGTAGGGTGACATGTCCAGTCTCAGTGGGAAGGAGAAGTGTGTGTTGACCTTCTCTTTCAGCATGGTCACCATATTGAATGTATATCGCATGGTGTTGAAGCAAAGAATCTTGGGAAGTTTCTTGAAGCATGCCCTGAATAATAAATAGACAAGATAAAGTTGGATTTTAGAAAAGGTTTCAGCCACTTAACAAATGTTGGTTAAAATGTCTTTAGATAGAGGACAAAATGAAATTTGATCTTTCATGTGTATTCTTCTCAAACTAGAACACTACCAAAACAGAGGAAGATTTCTTTTCTGCTCTCTTATACTTAATAAACTGGAATGTTTTTTATGTTTATTTATTCAGTCAATGTAAAACTTGGGCCTGAATACACCCAGAAACAAGGATTTTTGATACACTAGATATTAACTACAAAATCATTCAGAATATTAAATGGATACCTTTTTTCAGCCCTAACTTTTTTGCCACAGTTTGAGCAAGTATACATGTTGTCTCCCTCCAGTGTGTCCTTTACTGTCACCTCATCAAGGGACTCCTACAAAATAGAGATTGACACCATTATGTGACAATAAACAGTGTTTTCATTGTTTTGAATATTCCCGTTTCTATTTAAAATCTGCATTTGTATCCTAAGCCACATTAGGGTTATCATCTTCTACTAAAGAACCTTATTAAGGCAAGTGAAATAATAAGAACTGCTCATATACATACATGTATTACCGTGCGCACGTAACAGGGTACTTAAAGTGTCCTTGTGAGTTATCATTATCATGTATAAATGCTCCCATCCGCATTGAGCACTAGAAACTATATGCTTTTTATATATATATAACTTACATAAAGGTTTTTCATATCAGCAACTTGGCACCTTACAGTATAGAATTCCTCAATAGTCTTGCTGACATGGGGGCAGTCCTGCAAGTGAAAAGTAAATCAAATAGGTATCTTTCTTTAATTGAAATATGTACACATCAATAATTAAATAAAGAAAACCAAGAAGCATACATATCTCATATCTTATAACAACCTGCTTCCATGTTACTGAAGGTTAGAAATTTGATCTACCACAAACAATTTATTTCTGGTCAAATTTGAGATTTTAGTGTGCCCTAATTTCTAAGGCCTCAGATTTTTGGTGTAATTGGAAGATGGACCCTTACTTACCAGAGAAACAACATTATTGGTCAGTTTGCCCCCAAACAAGTTCTTCACAAGAGTTTGCTGAAATAGAAGTAAAACTTCAATATATCATTGAATATATATGGCAATCTATATTAGCAACACTTAAATTACCTAAAATGTATGCATGTAAAAAGTGACTTTCTGGGTGAACTATTTATTGTAATTTGAACGAAAAAAGGAAAATACTTTATACTGGCATAATATATAAAACTCCCAATGAACCTATTGCCAGGGATGTAGAAATTATAACAGAAATTATAACAGCCCACTCACCAACTCTGGAGACATCTCCTCCAGTTTACTGATGAGATCTGTGAAGAACTCTGTCATGTCTTTCTGCTCTCCTGTATTCAGAGGTTGTTTATCCATGGTGTAGACTTTACAGAAACTTCTGGGATTGTAGGCCTTCCTCTCACTTTCCTAGAAACAAAACGAAATACAAGATCTTTCTGTATTCACAATTTGGTTGAAAATAAAATAGTTTGTGTTTTTTTTAAATATCGATTTGATGACCAAATACCAGAGAGGATTATAAAGATAATAGCAGCACCCCTTAAACACCATGCTGATCACACATCTTACTGTTTGATACAATACAATATTATATCATAATTACAGAAATACATTTTGTTTACATTCACGGAATATTTGAGATATTGATATAAACTTTAAACCAGCATCCTAACCATGAGGTAAGCAAACATCTTCTGTAGTTCAATCAAGGTGCCCTCATATGTGTTGTCATGGGTACACTGGAAATGTATAGATTATAAGCTAAAGAGATATTTGTCAGAAATATACTTTCATCTCAAAGCATAACTAATACATAACCTTAATTAGCAAATCTCAAAGCAAATAATGGATTCTAATTTTTTTGTATTATCTGTATCCTCAAACCAACATATAAATGTAGCAATTAAAATTTTTCATGTGATCACACATAACTAGCTTTCTTGGTAATAACTTTCTTATTGATCTGTCAGCATACTGTTAAAACCTTCAAATAGACATGTTGTAATATGATTATCAACACACACAAAATTTCTAACTCACACCAGGTGGCAGTGTCCTCCTTACCTTTGCCTCCAAGACAGACTGCCTTGCCTGTGGAATCATAAACAAGTGCTGCATACAGGTGGCCATATAACAGGTGGCCCCAAGATTGGTCAGCCCTACATAGCCAGACAGTGACCGCTCATCCTCATGTGGCCAGTAATCCCAGGGATAGGGAGCATGAGCATCTGTATTACATTGTATAAGAAGTCAAATCACCATCAATTAAGCAATGAGAACCACCATTTTGAAGTGATCACAATCGACTGCACAAACTGTACATATTCAAAAATTGTGCTCTTCTGCTAGAAACTTAAATAATCACATAACTTAAAAAAATCATTAAAACATGTTCAAAATACAATTCAAGAACATCAAATCAATAAATATCCTAACCTTTTGTGTGTTGTTTCATAATCATCTCATGTAGAAAGGTATAATTGTCCAGGTTTCCTTTCACCAGTTCCACCATGAAATCAAAGACGGCAGACCTGGAGGCCTGGGTTTTACACTTGGGGAAGTACCGCTGACCAGTGTTAGGAAGGGAAAACAGGTTCCAGAATACATTGTACAGAAACTCCTGAAACAGAACAGATGAACATAAGATATATGTACTACTGGTGACTATAGGCAGTTTATAATGAATTGGGTTGATGAGGAGTGACAGGATCAAGGTTTAATTCTTACCAATCTTGGGAAATGATGAAAGAAACACGGATATGTTTGGATAAAAAGTCATCAGTCTTACACTACACTGACAGTGAAGAGAGCCATCATAATTTTTTAAAAAGTCACATGATTTAGTTCCATATAGTTCTCAGATATTGGGACCTAACAATTTATTTTGCTGTTATTTATTACCTTTATCGTAGGTAATCTATAAACATTATATAACTGTTTCTGTGTTACCTGTCCTTTCTGAGTAGACTTAAATGCAGGGTTATGTTTACAAATGGCAGTGGCCAGGTTGAGCAGCCCTATCAGTCCATCATCCTCTATGGAGTTATGTCTGGTTTCATGGTACTCTCTCTTCTTCAGAGCCTCTGAGATATACCCCAACAGGGAGTTCAAGTCCACATAACAGTCCTATATTAAAAGAAATGTGAAGTCCTTTGTTTAAGTTTTCAGCCTAGAAACACTTTCAAAAACTGAATACTGTACTCAGCCAAAAATACAAAAATTACATTTTTATAAATATATGAACCAGTATATGTAAAGCTATATTATCATTTATGTTTAAAAATTCAATATCATTTTCTCTAAGTGCTCAGTTCTACCTGCTCTCCTGCCTTAGCAGCGTCCTCTTTGGACATGCTCTCTACCAGACGACATGTTAGCCAGAAATAGTCTCGGCAACCAGGACCATATGGCTCCTTATCCTTAGGGTGTTCTGCATGCTGCAGGGAAATAATGGCAAGATATATCACAACTTTGTATCAAACACATTAGTCCGATTCCTTGGGTCTGTACATTTGAAATATATGTATTATACAGATTCAAACTTTTGAATAAAACTTTTGTAAAAACAATTGCCACTATCAAATTATACTTCTGGGGATAAGTCTATATAATCTTACAATTTTATTTCAACAGACTTTCTCTGATAAATAATAATTAAGAAATATATATAGAGAACCTACCTCTTTCCGGGCAGGCTTCATCATCTCAGCCTCGGGAAGGAAGCGGAGGAGAGATGCCAGCACTGGCATGAGGAAGCTGTACCCAGTAACGCCATCTACAGTCTGACCCAGACACAACCTGTACAGCCCCCTACAGGCCTCCTGGCGAACTATTGGCTGAAGGAAAAAAATGGATGACCTTATATAATTTTATTCAATTTCAGACCATGTCACATGGACACATCTCCTGGCTGTAATAAAAAGGTAATATGGACACAACTTAATTTTAAAGTTTATTTATACTAAATTATAAATTATACTAAATTATACTAACTACATCATTTGATGGTAGGTTTAGTTTCACACTGGACTTTATCTGAAGAGACTGTCCGGTACCTAACAGCACATGTTGTCTCAAAAATTACCATTCACCTATTCTTATGTTCTTAAACAGATCTGTATAAAAAAGCTAATGAAATATGAAATGAATAAAATAAAATGAAGTAAAATTGTAAAATGATTTTATTTTACCTCTGGTGCTTCCAGAGTGAGTCTCTTCAGCCAGTTTTGAAACATGTCATTTCCACACAGTGCTGGCTGCACATCAGGGCAGCTGAAGGCCCAAGAGACCAGGAAGGACAGGGAGTAGTGTATCACTGGAATTTCACAAACCACGTCAACATTGAAATAATCATTGAGCGACGATTGATGCACAACACATTGCATACAAAGCACTTACAAGGGATTCTTCTGAATTTTACAACTATAATAAATTAAGTAAAAAATGTTTAAAAAGATTTTTGCACAATTCAATTGCATACAACTCCCCCTCCCCTAAAAAGTCATCATATTATTAACAAACCTATGTCCTGTACACCACATGAATTTTCTACTGCACCGCAAAAATATCAATATTCCCAGAAACTTTACCTTCTGCCCTCCCCCATGAGCCTGCCTGGAACTGCTTGGATTCACTGGGCACTGCAGCATCATAGAGGATGGTCATCAGGATCTTGATCACATGGTCCACCTCCATCATGGACAGTGTGGTCTGAAATTTAAGATGCACATCAACACCCTATTTAAGACTTTGTGTCGGTGAAATAGAATTTCATAACCAAATATCTAAATGATTTCAGCAAAATAGAGAATTAATAATAAAAAATTGATCAAAAGTTTAGTTCAAAAATGTGCAGTATTTTAAATTTATTTTAGCCTGATTAGAATTCAGTTAGCACCTGGATATAATCTAATATGCTCCACTGAACCAAGATATTGAAATATTGGCATTGATTAAAATAATAGAAATTAAAAAAAAAAATTAAAATAATAAACCTGTACTAAATAGGGGTTTGCAACAAGTGTTTGCTGTAAAATCATCAATGCAGTCAGTTTAGTTTATCATAATTATTTTCAGGACCAGCATCCCATTAGCATACAAAGCACACTTAACAAAATTACATTTCATAAGATTCAGTGCAATTCAACTGTACGTACATGATTCAATTTTGGAATGACAATGTTTTCCTGTCCCTTATGTCTCTTGGCTCTCTTCCTTGGCGTTTCATAGCCATCAAATACTTCATCAGAACTAGCATCTGATTGGTTGATAGCAAACTGGCTGACCAATCTTAAGAGATATGCCAAGCATTCCTGATTCCACTGCAAAATAATATGAATATTTAAGCAAGGTCTAATTTGATATTTCCTATTTTCATTCTTAATTATACCAAGTTGCAGGAAAAAAGTTTTCAAATTCCTTAGGAAAACAGATGAGCATTGCCATGTGTAATTTTTTTTCTTTTTCATACAAAATCAAAATAGTTTTTGAAAAAAAGCCATCTCTGTCTACATTTTCATCCTTGCCTACCTCATTCCAATCTTCCTGGTCTTTAATCTGTAGGCTGCTTGACAGAAATATGCTGAATAGATGCTTCAGACCACCACAGGAGATAAACTGCAAATGTAGAATAACACTGTGAATTGTAGATGATAACACTCTATGCTGTTGAACATAAGTACTTCACAGGGTGAAAAAAATCCTGCTTGTATGAAAAAATTGATTTCAGTTTATCCTATTTTGGAAACATTTGAGTTAAGTAATACAAGATCTGTACATTGTATTTCAACTCATATAATTTCACATAAATTTTTGTATGTAACAAATCTGTTATCATGCAACCTCTAAAGAAAACTAAAGATATATCACTCAATTTATTTGAATATAAAGAAGATGCTATTTGGTAGTGATAATTAAGACATATACTCTAATCAAAATAATGATATAAATATATAACTACTGGTACCTGTTTACTCCAAATCTCTTCTGGTAAATCACCTAAATCTACAGATAAATCTGAGTCTGTGCTAGTGAGGTGGGAGTCTCCAGCTCCAGAATAGGAACTTAACTGAAAGATGGGTTCAAACTATTAGGATGAATACATCAGGTGGTTACACTGTATCTTGTGTGAAACAACATCACGTATGTATTATTTCAAAAATATAACTTATACCATACAAAAGAAACATCTTGGGAAACAATTAAGAAGGACTATGACAATATTACCTATATAATGAGTGAAACAACAGCATTACACATTTCTATGAAACACAGCAAATTGAGCAATTTTGAATGAATATTAGTTAAATATCGAAGTAAACTATGGAGGTATTTACAACATGTCAATTGTGTCATCCAAACAAATGTTGTAAAAGTTAACTACATTATGGAACAGTAACTTTCCTACTTTAATGTTAGCCTGTCCTGAGAGTACTTACAATTGACTTCCTCCTATATCTAGGAACTTTGGACAAACCCTCCACTATCTGAAGGGAATACATGAGTTTCTGAGGGTGGTGGGCATCCAACAACTCACTCCAGTTAATACTGCTTTGGCTGGATTCCTGGTTAGAAAATGAAGAAGTCTTTGAATGATAAAAAAAAGACAAAAAATAATAATATAAAAGAATCAGGGACATATTTCTTGGTGCCGAGGCAGCACATAGAGGTAGAAGTTTTTCAATCAAAATTTTCAATATATGTGCACTACACCTCAAGAGTTTGAGAAACATTCCATTAATATAGGCATTTATATTAATTGTTATAAGTGTAATAATAGTTAACAACAAAACCTGCAAATAAATGAGAAGTGAAATACAGATAAATAATTCCTTTCAACTCACATCTGCATTCATCACACTCTTGAATCCATGCAACATCTTGTGGTTAGTGGGCAGTAACATGAGCAGCTCCCAGACCTTCCTGGACTGGACTTTAGCCTTGGTTTGGAGGCTATACTTCTCTTGTGAATCCTGGAGTGACCAATTCCATGTAAACAATATTCATTGTACTTTCAGCAAGCACAAAAGACTGTATGCTTTACAAGGGCTTAACTCCTCAAATGTTATTTTAATATGCAGTCACACATTATGTTATATTATATATAACATAATATAACATCAAATTAATTAAAAGAACAAATAAATTAAAACGACTTTGTTGCTAAGTTTATGAATTATATATAAAAAAAAAGCATAACAAATATTATCAATTAATTAATTACTCAATTAACTTAAGTGATAACGCCAAACACAAACTTGTTTAAACAATGAACTTCTCTCACCATATCTTTATTTTGGCACTTTAAATTACTGAGCTGTTGCAACAAATCAAAGAGATTTTCAAAGTGGGGATCTTGGAGCAATAACATCATTGGCAGGCGCTCTTTTGGTGGTGGAGGAAGGAAGGAAGCTGGCGAGCTACCATCTTGCTTCCTGGGTGGACGATGACTTGCCCCAACAGAAACAAACACAACCTAAAAGGACAAAATGTTAGCCTCTGTCAATGACATATTAGAGACCAGAACACAGGCATTCATATTTACTGCAAAAGGGATTATGAAAGATTTTTTTGTAAATGACAGATCACAGAGGTTCAGTGAAAACTATTTCGTCAATTCTGATAGAAATCCATCAGTGTGGTCTACTTACAATTGTCATAAGTTAAAACTTTTCACTTTCTACACAAAACTGAAGCTATACCTCACCAAGATTTAAATATTTCATCAATTGTGACAATAGATGATAATCTTTAATTTACAGACATCCTGTTATAATTGTTCATGGTATCTCCTGAAGGATTTAATTCTAACCTGCATGTCTTTGATCTGCATCTCTGCTAGTGTCTTCTCATCTAAATCTACAGTTAGTTCCTGGCCCAAAGTCAACATTCTGATTGGTCCATCACCTAGCATAGCACCAAGTATAGGGGTCAGCACTGAGCCCTGTGCTTGACCTTGACCTTGTTGTTTGAACTTCTGACTAGACTGTTGTTTCTGCAGTGTCTCCCAGCACTTAGTGACCTCTGCCCTCAACTCAGCTATCAAGTCACTGGATAGCATTTCCAATGTCATCTGAAATAGGATTTCCTCAAATCACTATCTACCTTAATTTTGAAATTACATGAACCACACAAAAACAAAAAGTATTGAACATATCCATTTGTTCATCCGTTTGTATGTCAACTAGTTCCTCATCACATTAGGTATATATATTTTTACACAGAAGTATCAATACCCCTTCATTATATCAGTTCAGCCCACTGATAAGAAGTAACTATGAACAAAACCTATCACTTTTAATTCCCTTCATATCAAAAGCATAAAATTCAAACCAAAACCAACCTTCTCAGGCATTCCAGCTGGTTGCAGGACAATTCTGATGGGAGCCGAGCTCCTGTCATGAAGACTCTTCTGGTGGCTGTGAATACCTTGGCTCTCCAGCTGCCAGTTACGCAAGTGGTACGCATAGCGGCGCCGGAACCCATCAATGTGGTTCTTCAGCAAGATGAGACCTCGATGAATGATGAGCAACCCTGATTCAGGGCTCTGGAGAAATAAATTACAAGTTAGTAATCTGAGTGGTTTTTTAAAGAATAAAAGACGCAATGGTTGTATTCAAAATAATTATTAATACAGAAGTAAGATGGGGGTCTGGAAATTTTGTCAATGTATTTTTTACAATTCTAAAGAAACTAGAGGCTCAATGACACACCTTTGAAGTTCTTAATGTATTAAACAGGGCACTGATCTATTCTTCCCATGAAAATGTCACTACAGGTATTGTCAAATTGTCAAAATTACTCCAATGCTGATGATGCAGTTAAACATTTTTGATATGTTGTTTGAGAATGACTCACTGATCTCTTATCGTAATGTGAAAAATACCCACCTCTTTTAGCCTGTGAGATGCACTGACAAGTCTCTCCATGCATCGACTGATGAATTCTTCCTCCTTTTCCAGTGTTTCATTCCCATCTGAAATAAATACACGTATTCTAAAATAAAGTGCTTCAATGTCATCTAAAATATACATAAACCACAAAAGAATGCTACAGACCATGTTAGGAGCACATCCGAACAAATAAATCTGAAAGAGATCTTTAACTTGACTCAAAATTGATGCATGTGTTGGTCATTTAAGCTAAATATGAACAACCCATCCTGTGAAATGCAGATTTTGTTTATTTAAATAGATGTAGTATTTATTTTGGGTCACCCTGTGGTGCTGGCACTACTCACAGTTGATATAGTAAGTGTTGAGATGCTGTATGGCTGCCAGGCTGACATCAGTGTTCTGTGCTCTTAGAGCTATACCCCACAGCTGGTCCATGCCACAGATCTAAACACAGGGTACATTAGAAAAATATCACTCAACAAGATTATAAAGCATTTACAAAACTGTCTCCATTTGCAACAAATTAATAAGTTCTAGAGGATAAAGTTTATCAGTAAACATCTTTCACAAATTATCACATTGGCATTCAAAATAAAATACTGTTTATAAGAACGACTGTATTAAAACTGAGGAGATTCTGTAAACAAATATTAATCAAATGTAGCAAATGGACAAAACTCGTCTGAAGTGCTACCATGAAATACTGAAGGTCAATGTCAGAATAATTCAAACCAATCACATAAAACTGTCAATGAACTCACTTCATCCTCTGAGAGTGGTTGGTCCAGAGAAGCATTGGCAATTCTTGCCAAATGGCACAGCTGTTGGAACAGACTGAGGCCAGTCATACTCATGTGCTCTGGTTCCAAAAGAGGCATCTAAATGGAGATGACATCCACATAATTAAAAATGTGTTTACTATTGAGAGAGAGGGAGAGAGAGAGGGAGGACAGAGAGAAAGAGAGAAATGTTAAATTTTTAAGTGCATAAACCTAAAACAGTGTGTTCATTAGATAGATTTGCAATTACCTTTTCCATAAAGATATGTTTGAGTGTGTCCCAGCCTAAGGCATGGTGGTCCTTGCTCTTGGCTTGATTGAGAAACCAGTTTAGACACTCGTCAGCCACCTGGAGGTCAAAGTTCAGGTTCATTGTTTGATCAGACACCAGGCAACTCCACAACACATCCACCTGCTCTAGGTTCAGTCCTGAGAAAAAAATATAGAAAAGGAACCATGTTAGTTGAGCACACTTTTTATTAAAACAGTTCTTTGTTTTAATGCCATAACAAGGTTATGAAAATTTTACCAATTTAACATAAAGGTATACCTATATAATTATTTAGTCAAATATTAAAAAACTGATTCACTGAACTAAATAATTAATCATATACAGTTACCTTCAGATAATTTTTTCATTTGTTATGCAATGAATAATTATTAGTTACTTATTAATATTATTATTTACTTATCAATCTCCTTCTTTTAATCACGATTCCATGATTTATTGTCTTTATTTCGGGTGACAAAAAATGTACATCAGCAAGTAAATACTTGAATGAATAAATGAATAAGAAACTTTTATGCTTCTGCATTAACTAAAATGCCCTAATATTTACCTTGTTCTTAACTTTTAACTTAATTTAAATTTCAACAATTTTGAGCCTAAAAAGAACTAGCATTCATCACATAAATGACAAATCTTGGTGAAAAAAAATCAAATGGTTATACTACCCCTTAAAAAAAACTTACTGAAGGACTCTGGTGTTCCCATTGTAGAAAACACACAGGTGAGAAATTGCAGGCGCACCTGAATTTCCTCTCTGTAGCAGTACCTGGGGAAGAATCCATTAAATGTTCAAGTTAAATTCAATTTAATCATGCTTAGCATTTCACTTTTGCCAAATAAAGACATAAGACTTAGTTTCTTAAAATCCTGGATCTTTGTGAAAAAAATCTCTTTATTTCTACGTTTAAATTTGACAAATTTGTTTGATCTTTTCAACAGACAGTTGTATGTTTCTATTTATATGAATCATTCAAACTTAACATTAAGAAATGTATTGAGAAATCATTACATAAATCTTACATAGCATTTGAGGGCAAGTTTCCTTTCTTGGCACGGTTGGTTATGTACATCAAATTACTAAAGAAATGCTTCATCATATGAAGTTCTCTTTCAGCCCACCTAAAAACCAAGTACATTTTATCTTAGTTGAGCAACACTAATTCAGATGTCAAATAAAGCCATGAGAAAAAATCAATAAACAACTTATCTAATTTTGGCAATATTGGCATAAAACATAACACATGCCAAATCCAGTTGGTCAATTCCTTTAAATTGTGTTAAAAACTTTAAAATATGAAACTTTTTTTATGCCTTTCTCTACTTACATTGCAACAGAGTGTGTGTCTATACCACTCCTATATTGCTGGAATGATGCAAAAATCTTTGGCAACAGTCGCAAGGAGACAACAACTGATCTGTAATATAGATAAATATATTAATTTACTAAAGTCTCGATTTTTTTTTTTCAATTTTAATTTAAATTCTTAAAACTATATTGAAACCGGTGCTTTTTTAAGTTAAGTGCAAGACAAACATATGTGCTATGCGTAGAAATCTTTTACAACTATCAATATTTGTGCTTACCATATATATATCATGGAGAGCATGCAAGTCAATGTTTTACAACCAAAAGTGAGCACTCTTCAAAAATTACAGAATAAATTTATAATCTTAGAAAACTTTTTTCTTTTTCTCCTTTAATAATAGCATTATGGCAGTACTTTAAAGAGAAAGTGTCTGTCAATGTTTACTTCTTCTAAATCCCACTTCTGACCACAATTATCTCTATCTCACCTGTGTCTTGCCACATTATTGATGCAGGCTTCAATGAACTTCATTCTAATTCTCCTGTCTGTGGCAAAGCACACCAGTGTACACAGGGCTTTCTCTGCCTCCAAGGCCAGACCCTCAGGTAACAAATGCTAAAAAGATTGTACACAAAAATCAATACAATATGGTATGAGATCAGAGAGGCATACACATCTCTTCTGGGCATCCCAAAAGCCTGGTTGAACATATCAAAAGATCATTCCAAGCATATAAATTCTTTATAGAAAAAACAAAAATATTGTAAAAATGTATAAAAATTGAAAATTCCCTTGTATAATATCTCAAATATTATACATAACCTCACCAGCATACTAACTTTAAAATGCAACTCTTATTCACCACATCTTTGCACAAAGTTTCACAATAAAATGATTAAGATTAATTTATTACTTACCACATCCTCATCTTGCACAAGATCCCATAACAAAGTATTTCCAGGTTCACACACGTCCTCCAACGAGAAGCTGTTACAAAGGCGAGCTCTGTCTTCTGGCCCATGGATGCCTTCTCTTTGAGGAATTACATCTATGATGATGAAGAAATAAATATCACAAAAAGTCTCTTTTATAAGTTTACATAAAGTGTCTTGAGCCACTTTTGGACAAAACTCTTAACGATGTAGTTTTTTTTTTTTTTTTTTTTGCCAAATTTGGCTAAAAACAGTATTATAGTTTACATTTTCTCTTCCCATGTCCCTTTACCCCTTTTTTTTTTTACATGCTATGCTGCTGATATGTAGTATCTTACTCCTTTCACTCCCACTCTCCTGTATACTGACTATGCTGTAAATGGCCAGGATATATAGCAGCCATGTATACTCACTATGCTGTAAGTGGCCAGGATATATTGCAGCCATGTAGACTTACTATGCTTTAAATGGCCAGGATATATAGCAGCCATGTATACTCACTATGCTGTAAATGGCCAGGATATATTGCAGCCATGCTGGCCAAATGTTGCTGGAGCTGGTGGCTGTTGATGGAAGCTGCGGCATTGATGTGTGCCAGCTCTTCTTCACTCATCATCTCTTCACCATCAAAGTCTGCCATGTTTTTATCTGATTTGGTGCTCATTCTGGAGCTATTACAACTACCTTCATCTGGGCTGAGGATGTCTTCTAGGTAATCACTACTAGAAAACACCGAAAATTTTCAATATTAACCGGTAGCAGGCAAGCATTCATTCAGTACCAGCCAAATTTCTAATGTTTGACCTAATAATGCTGATCTTGCAAGAATAATGAAACGGGTTTAATACCCTCTATCCAAAGTGCATTCTCTAGAATAATGAGATAAATATCTACTTGCATAAACTTTGCAATGGAAAATGAGGGCATGGTAAAATTTCAATTCTAAAATTTTAATCTCTCTCTCTCTCTCTCTCTCTCTCTCTCTCACACACACACACACACACACGCATGCACGCTCACAAACACAATAAAATCTGAATATAAGCACACATATGACCATGCCAAGAAGCATGTTAATAGCTCTCCAATATTCTCTATCTACGATCTCACCTCTGTGTCCTCTGTACTCGGCCTGGCAATATATGTGAGCAATCATAAACTTCTGTCCGCACACTTCCACTGTCCACGCTGGACTGGACAGGGGGCAGCACCTCCTGGTCTGTTTCTCTGGCCAGTTTACTACTGACCATTACATCAGACTCACTAAGGCTGCGCTTCTCCTTAAATAACAAGATAATTCCTTCATTTTTGATTACTTATTGCTTTTTCCTCATGGTAATTTGTCTTTTTAATAACCCCCTTTTCACTTCTTCTTTTAAATACTTATCTTCTATGCTTGTCCAATATGTCCTTCTATGTTTCTCATTTGTTTCTTCTCTTTCAGAAAAAATGCTAGTTTTCAGTCTGTCAATAATCAATGAAGCAGTCAACACCATATGCTTGCTAATAAGCGTTAAGTTTGAGATAAACACAAAATAAAAGAGCTTCTATGGCCCTGTATGGGGTGTTAATGGAAGATATATATTCTTACAACCCAAAAAAAAATTGAGATCATTGCCAAAAAGATGAATGTGTGAGACAATGCAAATCTAACAGATAAATTTTAAAGTTAATTCACACCATGTAATAATTTAATGACTCCAAAGAAAAAAGGTTTTAATGTGAAAAAAAAGAGTAACAAATTGCTCAGTTAAATGATGAAGTTAATAAAGTGACATTATACTTCCCCATACAGAGTATGAAACAGTCAACTACTAAGCACTAGTACTACTAGCTTCATCCCACCCCCAACCCACCCAGTATGGGGGTAGGGCAAACCCACTCACTGAATTTAAGGGCTTCTTCAAATCCTCTGAACGATGAGCACTAGCACCAGATTCCTTCTTGGTTGTTTTTCTATTGTTCTTTTTCTGTTTCCTTGAAGGAAGAGAAGTAGGGCTCTTTTTCGTAGTTTTGCTTTCATCTTTTTCCTTTTGCACAGTTATCTTTTTGGAGCTGGCATTTTCTTTGCTGCCATCTGTATTTTTGCTCTTTTTGATACCATTGATATTTTTCAAGTTTTGTTTCTTTTGAGCTCGCTGTTTGGTGATTTTAGCCTTGTGGGTTATTTTCTGAGCTCGTTTATGTAATGCTTTCTTGCATCGTTCTCGAAATAGTCTTTCCCGCCTGACACGTGCAATTTCACACGCCTCCTCCAACAGCTCATCATCATCACNCTAATAAAAATTTTGAACTAAACCATTTGTTAATCCAAAATAAAATTATATATTTTCTTTGGCCATATTATATAGTATAGCATTTGAGTACATTTGATAATGATAGTCTAGAGAGAGCTCTACTTACATTGGACACAATAGTAATCAGAGTATGCACAAGAGGGAGGGGCAGGTTGTCTGGTTTGGCCTTCTCAAAGCAATGTAGCATAGACTGAGGGCCATTGCTATCACAGAAGAAACAAACATTTCTCAACAGGAACACTGGAACCTCTGGGTCCTACAATATGAAAATCAGAATAAGAATGAGGGTTGTATCATGTGGGGGGGGTATCAAAACCAGGCGGAACATAAGATACACACACAGAGAGTTCTAAAAAGTGTTTTGATAATGATATTATTTTTACCCGAATATCTAACTGAACATCTAGCTTTAAACAAGTCAAACATGGACTAAAAAACAATCCTGTCTTTATTTGCATAAATAGGAATAAAACTGTCATTTTCAAAAGCTGCCTTAATTAATATGGTACTTGGTAATTCTTTTAATGTCTGCAGTTTGGTAAAGTCCTTCTTACCGATAGTTCACAATAATTATTTAGTGCATTCGCTTCTTGCTGAGATAACTCCTGAAAAAGATATACTGGGTTATACGGCAGAAAGGTATGAGACATGACAAGTGATACATACGATTCAATGAAATCAAAAATAATGAGAATTTATGGCAACAATCATTTTCACTTTTTAAAAATGTCACGAGTTCAATATTTTCCAGTTCAACACCACATTGAGCTCTCACATATTTCTGTTAATCCTCAACAATACTTTTTGATTTACCTCCAGGGAAGTGTGAAATGTATGCTTATAGGCCATGTACAGTGGAAAGTTCATCAGGAAGATTCTGGCCACAACCTGGAGAAGACCTCCCTTATCCTCAGTAGTCCAATACTCAAGCTCTTGAACCTGTTTTGTTTCATCTTCTTCCTGTTCTAGTTTATCCTTAGCATCGTTTTCAGATATAGATTTTCCTTCCCTTTCCTCTTCCACTTTCTCTTTTTTCTTTTCTTGAGATGCATCTGTTTGTTCTACTTTTTTGTCATCATTTCTTGTTTTGTCAACTTTTTTATCTTCTTCATCTTCAGAAATGTTTATGTTAGGATCATCTTGGTTACCAGTCTCAACAGAAATAGTGGATTCATTTTTGGGCTTTTCCTCTGTGTTTGCACCTCCATCTCCTTCACTGTTCTGTGCCTCTTTCTCTTTTTCTCTTTCTTGTTCTTTTAAGTAGTCTTCAGGTAATGTTTGAATGTACTTGATAGCAAGGTTTAGAATTACTTGGACTACGTTGTTGAGTCTTTCAAAATTCTTTAATTCTTTAAAACAGCATGTGCATTGCCTAATCAAAAAGATAAAAATTAAAACATTTCAGTTCAACCTCAAAATTTACATACTTATTGTCTGTCACCAAGTCTTAAATATAAACAAACCCAAATGTGAAATTATTTACACAGAAAGTATAAACATATATTAATAGATCATAAATCTTCCCTATCAACTTTGGTTTTAACAAATATTTCAAACTGTAGTCAAAGTTTTACCAAAGTTGTATACTTAAAATAGAGGTGTGGCATGAAGAAGATAGCTTTACATACCTCTGTGGCCATGCTTGAACAAAAAATATAACAGCTATAACATCACTTTTAGTCAACTGTAAGCCTTCTCCAGACTGCACCTTCTCGTCATCTGCAAAATATTCCTTTTTTACTTTCAAGCAATGATATTTCTATTCAACCTTTAAACTGGTGGTAACAAGCATTTGTTTATAGTAACAGTAGTTTTTCAATTGATTGTATGCTGCGCGTGCCATCACATTCAAACAACTCTACTATTTACTTGTAACTGGGGTCCTCAAAGTATTTTGGGAAGCGCAAGGGACATCACAGAAAATTTGTTACATATTCGGTAAGACCAAACATCTTACAAAATATGCAAATAAATTGTTTTTCCTAGAAAAAAGAATATCTCACACACTGTACTACTACCGGCGCGATCGCATTTCTTTCCAGATAGTAGATCGACCGTGTTTTCTACTCTCGCATCGTCATTGATACTTACGGCTATTGAGAAGAGCCAGCATATCCGTACAAATGTCGCACATTTTGTGAGCATTTCTTTTCACGTTTCGATGTTAGGGTATTAAAAATTCTATTGAATAAATTGTCTTTTAAAATACGATTCTGCCTTTGCTGTTGTGCACCACAAGAAAGGCGCCATTGTGGTTCATGACGTCACGAATAGCAATTTTCCCACAATCCGTAACATTAAATCACGCTTAATACTTCGATTTCTTGTGCTTGTGTACAATTAAATATTTACAAAAATGAAATTATGTGCCGGATATTGCATATTACTTCAGTCAATTCTATGAAAATAGCATTCAAACTATAGTTTCTTCACTTCGCTTTTACTAGGGCTCTCCTGTTTTTGAAGTTTATAAAAATTAGGGCACAGAGGGCACTTGTTCCAAGACAGCCCAGACTCAAAGACGATTCGTTTGCGATGGCGGGGTTGTGTCCGCGAAAAAAGAGTGCTAACAAGAAGCACGATCCTATCAGCTGCGACATCGAGTTTGATGGAGTATTTGCACCGGGCGTTTGTGCGAAACTGGTGGCTGAACTGATTAAACACGTTTTGTATCAACGACAACAGTTTCCGATGTCCTACGAGCAAGTTAAACAGCATTTTCACAGGCAGCAGGAGAAGGAGGTCAGTATTCGAATTACAGATGCATTCTTCACATACCTACACAGTGAGCTCAGGGAAATCAAGACTGGGGGTCATGCGAAAGCACGCGTGGAAGGCATTTTATAAATTGAAGCCAAAATATTCCTGTTAATGAGAATAATTTAATAGGGGAAAGAATGGTTCATGACTTAACCTTACTCCTAGCACATTAGTTAATTTTAAAATCAAAATCACTTTAAGGCAAATATGATTTTAATGTAACACTGCATTTTAACATAGAACATGAAATATAATTAAATACCATTTTGTCGTTGTCAGTATAACACTAACGATTTTCACATGAATGACCAATGAATTCTGTATTTATTTATTGTAGGGTCCATCAAAACAGAGAGGCCTGGGAGCTGTTCACCACAACAAAGTCAGACAAGGCATAGAAACAGCAGAGGAGATGTTCAATAATTTGGAAAAAATATTTTCTCAAATGTCTCACATACCCCAGGTTGTTTTAGTTCTAGGTGCCACACCCGTTAGTCCTAAAGAGACATACACTTTCAACCTTCCCGCTGAGAACAGCACAGGAGATACCCTAAGTCTCAAAACTGGTGTCAGGACCATGTTTCGCAGGCTGGTGCAAAAGGATTTTATGTCAGACTTAAAACTGATGTCACCCACCAGTGCCTTTGTGCTGATTAAGGCTCCTAGAAAGTTGGATGGAACTGTGGAGTGGTTTCAGCCAAAATTGAACTTCAAACTTTCCACCAGAGGGCGACAGGTTGTGATTAACTTGGTCAGTGCCTCCTGTGCAATAGAAGAGGAGCTTAGTCGAGGAAGTGAAACAAGTTTTGATTTATCAGGCATTGCCCCACTTGATTCATCTTCCACAGAGCAGCTGAATACCTCAGCATATGAGAACTTCTCACCAGGACAGAATGATAGCGGCTTTGGAGGTGAAAACCGCTTTAGCAAATCCAGCGAGTCTGACATGACACCTATGTTGACAGACAGGATGGAGGGAGGAGGGGATGATGACTTTATCTGGTATCAGGCTCCTCTGGCTATTAAAGGATTCAAAGATAAGAGCAGCAAGATTGCCAAGAATTCTGAAATGTTAATTTAATATCCTGATGATCATAACTGGTTGTTGCAATTTTTTCCCCACATACTTATTTGACGGGCATTCTGCTTCAGGTTCTGCTTTAAGCACAATAAAGGGCAAAAGACTAGTTTTTTTTTTTTTTTTTTTTTTTTTTTTGTTGATTTTGAAATTGTTATGTCTAGTCACCATGCATTGTTTTTAAAATTGTTTTTTATTTCATCTTGTATGGATCATATTTATATAGTGAGGTGGTTGCCAGGTGGGACTTCAAACAGTTTGGAGTGGCATAAGTGCAAAAGCAAACTCGTTGCCTTTTTTATCCTGTTTTAAAAGAGGCCATGTCAATATGCAGTGTGGCCAAAGAGAGCACAATATATTTGTTATTGTTTATGAAGAAGCCAGTTATCTACTTATCAATAACATTTTAAATTAATCTCGGTTCACTTCAGGACAAAATTTTATCTATATGTGTAGCTGGACAATTTTAATTAGAGTAAATCAGAAATTTGAAGTAAACCAATGGTAACTTGCTCAAAAACTGTTACTAGTGGTCATAAATTTTCCGTGGCCATATTAGGGTACTCTTTGCACTTGCTAGAGTGGCATGACATGCTGTTTACCTCGGCTTGATAACTATTGCATTTCATTTATTTACATATGTACATCTAAAACCATGTCAGCATTTTACAGGTTTTCTTTCTTATTGTGCCAGGGGTTTAAACATGTGACTTAAAATTGTGATTCAGTCTAATACTTATGCCTCTTTATTTTATGAGATAAGGGATCATTTTCATTTTGTATGACACAGAGAAAAAGGGTATAAACCCTCTTCATATATGTAGGAAAAGTACAAAGTTTTAGCTGAAACATAAGTATGATCCACAAATTAGGCATTTTAGCCAAGCCAGACACTTTCTGCAAAAACAATTGTTTGAATAATTTTTCAAATATCACTTTTTCTTTTCATTTGTTTGATTTTGGGTGTAACATTTAGCAGATGTTTGGTTTTGTGTGCACCAAACCAAATCAGGCTTTGACTAGACAGTTGGGTGTCATGCAGAACATACCTAGATTGTGAAGTTTTTAAACCAGTTTTATGGCTTTTTTTCTTGCAAGAGTGATATCTGAGGTGTTGCACAACTGTAGATGTACTTAAAGGGATAATAACTCTTCGTATGAGATCTATACTCCACAACAAAAACATTGTGAACAACTCATAGAAATATAATATATTGTTTTACCACAAAAATGGCAGTTATAGCTATTATGCTGATATCTGAGCCTGTCTTTAGATCACATGACCTCCATTAATGGCTATACTCTGTTATAATCTCTTAAGATTATAACCAAAAAAAAAAAAACTTTTTAGAAAAAAAAAGCGAACCACTTTTGAATGTAAAAATGGATTCAGTAACCATTGGTAAGTATGGAAAAATTGTTGTTTACTCCAGGAAAATTCATTTTTTGGCCAGAACAAAGTTATTATCCCTTTAAGCAATAATAATAACTTGTTAAAATCCCAGTGCAAATGTCCTAAAATCTTTGCTTTTGATGAATATATATATATTATGTAAATTTGTACTTCTTATTGCAATGTCTAGGACACATTACTGCGTAATAATTTACATTCCTTGTGACCCTATGTGAAAGGTGTTCACTAAGTGGGTTCAAGAACAATGAACATCATTAGACCTTTGAAAAATTTAAAAAGTGCACTAGGAAAATTGGGCATTGTGTAAATTTTAATATTGACAAGGTTGACTAACACAAATACGTGTTATCATTTCTTAACATGACATCATTTAAAGAGGGAGCAATTGATTTAATTAGTTCATGCCTTCCTATAGTTGTGCTCCAAATAGCATCATGTGACAAACTTTTTTCACTGCTAACATTCGGTAAAATTGCTCATATGGTTGGTGCTAGGCCATTTTGTTGGAGCTATTTATGCTATTTAAACTGAATAAAATATGAAAGAGTAATATAGTAATTGTTTTCACACAGGTCCGAGGTTCACATCCAACAAAACTAACTAATTAGAAGAATTTTATTTCTTTGTCTGGATATACAGGTTTTGTGAAGACTCATAATGAAGCCAATTTAAAATTTGATAACAAAAGCATTTTCACTTAATTTAAAGACAAAAAATAATTATGCTTTTAGCAATCACAAGAATCAAATCTTTTTTGGTTATACAACTCTTGATTTTTATCAATTCCTGATAAACTATGTTCTAAATGTACCATACAATATAAAAGATTTTAGGTGGTAAGACAATGTTTTTCAATCACACATTATAAAAGACTAGAGAAATGTATGACTACAAATGGACAACCCTACCTAAAATGACAAAACCTGAAACCATGCAATCAGTATTTGAAAATAAAAGATGATGCATAAGGAGAAACTAGGCAACTGCTTCCTACTTGGCCTCTTGAATTTACTCATGTTGGCATATTTCTTATTTTAGGCCAATAAATCACATATCAGACTACAAACTTAGTGTATATAAGGATCTTCACTCAGTTAAAGAAATGCACTTGCTTCGAAAGTAGAGATTGTAAATATATTCCTCTGTGACATGGCCATGACATTCAACATCCAAGGCTCCTTTATGCTGATCTAAGTTGGCATAGTATGAAAACTGTTGAATTGGCATCTTTGTAATAATTCTAAGCATGTCTAGTTCTATTTCTTTACTATTTTATGCTTATTTCTTACAAACACAGGACAGTAAAACTTGCCAACTATTAGTACCATTGAACAGTCATTCTATTACTTGGGGGAGGGGGGGGATTCAGTTAGCACTGCATTTAAATATAATACTATTAATAACATTGAAAGTAATGCATTTGGCTGAAAATAATCACTGTCACATTCTCTTAATCATTTTATCCTCTATCATTGTAAGTACAGAAAAATAAACATAACTGTTACACTACTTGCTTTTTCTGTCTCATTTCTTACAGTAAATCATTCAGAATTATTTCAAACTAGAGGATCAGAGAGGNAGTGTGGGATCACTTTCTTTCTTTCTTTTTTCATTCAACAAGATCAGACAGGCTATGAGCATATCTAAACGGCAAAATATTCAGACTGGCAGTTATGAAGTTATTTACGCTGAAGGACTTTATGCTGGATAACTCTATCTACTTTCTGTTCAGCAATAGTTTTGCTGTTGCATATATATATATATATATATATATATATATATATATATATATATATATATATAGTTCATGTTCTTGCTCACCTGTATGGTATTGGCTTTCTTGCCTCCCACATAAATTGGGGCACCCACAAAATTACTGTACTTCTTAGTCACATCTAAATAGACGGAACAAACATGGGTACAATCTTTTTTTATTCTAAATTTTTATACACAAAAGATTCAAATCATAATGATATCATTAATATCTGATTACAATATCTGACAACCTACATAACTTTCTAGGCATCATTCATATGTCCTTTGCTGACTTATTTCTACCTACCTTTGATCACATCCTCTTGGCAGAACTCATGGCTATCCATTTTGAGGTGAAGGACTATCTTTGTGCCTCTCTGGACATTTTCTGCTTCCGAAATCTCAAATTTTCCTTGTCTGCAATAGTGCAAGAACACAACAATTATAGCAACACCACATTCATAGGGCAAATATGTCCACATTTAATCCAACAGTCATACATAACACATCCATCTCATTTTCTACTCTAACGCAAAGTTTCAGAGTGACTTTTAAAAATACATTTCAAAAAATGTTCCTTTAAAAAAAGCGGTTCTATGTAACTTAGCCATTGTTGGCTACAAAGTCATGATCCAGTAAATTTACACAATAAATAAATACCATACCCATCAGATGTCCACTTGTGTCCAACAGAACCAGGTTTGTACGACTTGGAGAAGACTTCCACCTTGTCTGAGACCATGAAACTAGAGTAGAAACCCACTCCAAACTGACCAATGATACTGCTCTTTGCACTGGCCTCTGATGCCTTGGATAACTCACTTAGGAATGCCTGAAAGGAACGATTAAACACAATTAAATTGGTCTTAAATGAACAGATATAAATATCAATATCTTTAAAGTCTAATACCGACACATTACAAAAGGTGCACTTGCCTTCTGAAGGGGCATTTCATAAGATAAAATGAAGACTTGATAGAGAAGGTTTCAAAATTGTGCCATCAATTAACACCATACCAAACTAGATTATTTTTATTTTTCTTTGTACAGAAGTATAAAGTAATACAAGCTTGACTCATCAAAACCCAAAGTGGAAGGGGGGGGTACCACTTTTGGCTGAAAAAAGATCCACTTTGAACCAAAATTTGATGTCATTTTTCAAGTTAGGTCAAATAAGCGTTAAAAAACACTTCTTAGAAAGAACACCCCCTTCCTGTTTTTTTTTGTTTTTTTTTTTTTGGCAAGTACAGGCCTAATCAATCAGTATCCCAAACCTTTCAGTTTATTCAGTGAAACTTGCTTAACTTAGTTTTACACAATGACCTTAAAACTCATGTAAATATGACAGCCCAAGAATTTTTCTGGATAGTTTTAATTTTTTTCCCTTACCCTAATAACACTACCAACAGTCTTACCTTGGATCCCGACTTGGCAATTGTCCCAAGGTGCTCTATCATCTCCTCCTTAGTCATACCTATACCAGTGTCCTGAAATAAGAGAATCAATATGAAGCAGACGACAGGAAAAAAGTGAAAAATAATGGAAGTACTGTTTGAAAAATATAATTATGCAACTCTGCTACACTCCATGGAAAAGAAATAAATCAGAGAATTTCTTTTAAGTAATCATCACATATAACAGAAATTTTAACGAGACCGCCTCCGGATATTGTACCACCAGCTGGAGTAAGCGCAATTGTACAGAAAACCAAAAACAAACAGGAACAAAAACCAGTGTTGTGTTTGACAAGCTGTTCAAAATGCAATAAACAAGACAAGAAATATGCCCCCCCCCCAAAAAAAAAAACAAAAACAAAAGACAGCACAACTTTTATAAAAATGGTCCGATCAAGCCGAATTTTAAGACAATAGGCTTGCCAGTTTTCTTTGAAATGTGTTATCAGTGTTCCATATATAATGAAAGAAAGAAATAGGCCTATCTCTGCCAGTTTTGGAAATATAAGGGATAGATATTTGCAAAGTTCAGTTTGTGGTGAAAAGAAGGTCAAAGGTCAATTTCAAAGTGACAGTTAGATTGCCAGTATGTGACTTCCTATTCAAGTTCAATAGTAACTATGGGAATATCTTTGCCAGTTTTGGAGATATTAAGGCCAGAAAACGTGCAAAGTGCAGTTCATCATGAAAAGTAAGTCAAAGGTCAATTTCAAGGTCACAGTTAGATTGCCAGTATTTGACTTCCTATTCAAGTTCAATAGTAACTGTGGGTGTATCTCTGTTAGTTTTGGAGATATAATGGATGAAAAAATTGCAAAGTTCAGTTCATGGTGAAAAAAAGGTCAAAGGTCAATTTCAAGGTCACAGTTAGATTGCCAGTATATGACTTCCTATTCAAGTTCAATAGTAACTATGGGTGTATCTCTACTACTTTTGGAGTGTTTCACATTTTATTTTCACCACTGAACATTGCTCAGTTGTGCTTTTTGATATAGTGCCACTCCTTGACAGACACCACCTTCAGTATTGCACTTGAAAAGCTCTACAAAATGCAAAAAACAAGAGGTCTCTAGCATTTACGGTTCCAGAATTAGGGAGAGTTTTCAGTTTCAGCATCTTATGGCCTTTTCTCCCATGAAAATGCACTGATTGACCCCAAACTCCCAAAGATGAAAGGAGTCCCTAATTGCATCCCCTCACCATAATATGAGTGCTTAAGCCTGTGTAGTTTCTGAAATTCAACACAAATAAAAATATTTTTGAAAAAAATTCCCATTTTTTGAAAATTTTGGCCCGTTTGACCTTGAAATAAAGGTCAAAGGTCAAATCCAAAGGCATATTTGAAATCCTCATATATGACTTTCAGTCAAACTTCTATAGTAATTTTTCCTATAATTCCTTCAGTTTGGGAGATATTTGGCATTGAATTTTCAAAAATTTTGACAAGGGTGCATTTCCATGAGCATCACGCCCAGGCCAATGCACTGACTGAGACCAAAAACACAGGGGGTTCGAGTTGAGATTATATGTAACCTAAATCCAAGAGAGGGGGGCATGGGTCCGTGCCGTCTTGGAGGAGAAGCGGTAACGGTGACTTGTATCCGGCGCCAGAACACGGAGCCGGCGGAGCCGCAGGAGCCAACGGAGCCGTACGACACGGGTCGGGACTAAAACCATGAGTACCGCCAGCATACACACTGGTGGTACTAATAAATATTGAACCATTTGACATTAGTAAAATGCCAATTCTTTCCATCAGACAATAAGTGCAATTTTGGTTTAATAAAATATTACAATTAATATTATTTAAAAAGATGCACATAATTATAATAAATCAGATTAAAATTGAACTAATAAACAAAGAGGTAAATACATTGATACAGGTGGCATGTCTGGTGGCAAACAAACTTAATAAGCAATAGTACATGACCTTGTATATCTTCCTCTGAAAAAACTGCATGTTACAGCTAAGAAAAGTGAAATATCACCAGAATTTTCAAACACAATCAGAGAAAGTTGAAAAAATATGAAAGTTACATCATTGTTTATGAAAAAAATGTATTTTTTCACCAATAAATAAGAGAGGAAATTGATTGCATTCCAGTGTTGCTAAATAATTTTCTTTTATTTTCAATCAAAATAAAATAAGCAGAGTTCTGATACATGTTGGAGTATAACATGTCTATATGCCTTAAAATCTACACAATTTACCTATCACTTCATATTAAAAAGTTCTACAGCATCTTGAGGAAGATCCTCGAAATGCACACAAATAACCAACATGCTTTCATCCAACTATCATTTCATGTTGTGCCATTGCTAGGTACTTAACAGTTTCTTGAAAACTAAAGAGAGTACAATTTCACATTTCTTAAAATTAATTACCAAACTGTAATTGGTCAGACCATTCTTTCCACCTTCTGGCTTCTACAAAGCCACCATTTGTTTTTACCAAGTTTCCCTTCATTCTCACAGAGGCCCTCCCCTCATCTATATATGCACCCTTGGCTAGCACATACAAGTTGTTCATGTTGGACCAGGTTGAAATATTGTTTTTCCTGAAGGGAGGCTCTATTGACATCAGCACCTATCGTAATTCATATAACATGAATTCTAAACTCATTCCAAGTGTCACATGTTCAGTGGGTCACAAGCACACACACGCACGCACGCACTTTCTTGCAAAAACTGCAAACAAGTCTCCTTTGTCATTTTTCACATCCTTGTACTTCACTCCAAACTGGTAACAGTACAATTTTTTCCACTGGTACTTTCAAAACCTTGCTGTTTTATACCACGGCTGAAAATATTGCCTGCTATCCATAGATTTATAACCAAGTCACAAACACAGCTTCTTCTTGGCTACTATACTGGTGTGCTGCGACCAGATTGGCAGCCATTGGCCTCTAAAAAAGAATTAATGTAAACATACTGAAGTGTGTGCTGCCTCGGTACTAATATCATCATATACATATTCTGCCATATCACTGGACTGTTCCATGAATAGAAATCCACCTAGGGTCTGAACAGTATGTGACCTAATATCAAGTTATCTTGTTTACATTATTTCTAGAATGCATTATTATGGTAATACAACTTTGATTACACACATCTTTTATACAACCTTCCAGTTTATGTCAACCCACCTTGCTTACAATATTTTTGTGGCCCCCATATCCTTACAGTTCCATCATCAGATGCACTGGCCAGCATGCTGGGTAACTTGGGATTCCAATGTACACAGTTCACTGTGCGAGTATGACCTTCTAATACACAGATGGGCACCTCACGTTTGGTGTGCCAGATATATACCTTGTGATCTAAAAGAAAATAAAGTAACTTTTAAAGTTTTTTTTTTTTCACCATGAGATTCCTAATCAACTTGTAAATGCTTGGTTTGACAGATATATCCTTGTGATCTGAAAGCCAGTACAGTGAACAGTAAACTATGTGCTTAAAATAAATGCGTTTCCTATTCAAACTGTTAATTGCCTGCTATATTTTGTTAAGTCACTTCAAAAAGGTCCACCCCAAAAATACCACAAAGCCAAATGAACTTCCCACTTTGTCATAAATGTCCACCTTGAAGTAACTTCCAATTCAGTAAACATTTGGTCAACGGTTTTAACCACAACATGTGGAAATCTTAAATTCATAAAATCTTAAGCAAAGCAAAGACAAAATGTCTGTCAAAAGCTACATTTTTTACTTTTAGAATCTCCCTTATTAAATTGCTTGCTCTGTGCCCCAACTTTCAAGTTGCATACCTTCACTTCCACTGGCAATAAAATCTTGATTCAGTCCTCCAAAACAGGAGTGGATGGAGTAGAAACCTTGCGTTATGCCTTGGAACTTGCGAAGTAAACATTTGTCCTTCAGATCCCATAAATGCACTCCCTGCAGCATTCAAATTACATTCAAATGCATTGTTTTAAACATACCATATGTATCAGATGTGCAAGAATGTTGATCCAAAATCTAAGCTGCTACTGGCTTAAGAACATGTAATAGTCTGTTTCAGATAAAACAAGATTACAATACTGTTGCACAGATATAAAAGACCAAATTATTTACACTGGTCACTGAAATTTCATTGATGCTTTACTATACTGAAGTTTCATCTAATAGGGTTAGAAACTATATTACTCTTGTCTGCATCAAACATTTCAAGATCATTTAATCTGGATGTCACTGCAATAAATGTGTCTTCATACCTTAAAACTTTCTTCAAGATGCAGGATAAGATATTTAACAAAAATACAAATATAACAGTACCTGAGTTGCAACATTAAGAAGTGTCCTCCGTCCATCATCTGCTATTGTGAAAGACATGATAGGATGGTCTTCTTGGATTCTTTAACAAAACAAACAGCACGAATAAATGAAAATGAAACTAACTGTTGGTTAATGATGAAGTTGAACACACTGTAACAATATTTTCTCAAAGAATTTGATTACACGTCCCTACAAAAACTATAGGTCTCTTATCTAAGATCAAAAACAGGACAGCAAAGCTAAATTTGTTACTTACACTTGGAAGTCTGTTAATTCATCAAAGTTATATCCTCTAATTCTGTGGTGTGTATCTGAAGCTAGGACTACTTTGTGATCTTTCTGACACTGTAAGCCCTGCACCCTGACCCCCTCCCAGGAGTCCAGCACATTGCCATCTAAATCCTGGAAAAGAAATGAAGGAACAGATTGGAGTATATGTATGTGAGACTGTTTCATGTATGCTAGGTTTGGTAATGTAAAAGGTGGGCCCTTTTTTAAAAACCAAAGCCTCAAATGTAACACAATATCAGCAAAATGTTAGTCATTTCAAATTTTTTTCAAGATTTAGTTTTAGAGCAGTCTTGTATTGGTAAAGCTGCCACCTACACATTGATAAAACTGGCCTCTTGTCCCTCCAGTGATAAACCTCTTCCCATCAGCATGAAATGATGCACAAGTCAAACTGTCTTCTGGGGATTGACTCATCTTCACCCGCAAATCTCCTGTCTGAAAATAAACAAACAGTAAAAGGTCAATTGCCCATTAACTCAATATATTGAGTAATAAATGAAACTATGCACAGATATTACATACTATGCAATGCTTAGCGAACAATATGTAGAATTAATATTGACACACAATTTTTGATACTGAATGTTCAAATATGTAATATATTCTTGTGAAAAAAAATCAAATACTTTAAAGATGGCCAAATGGATTTTACCAATAATTCAAGGAAAATCAAAGAAAAGAAAAATGCTTAAAAGACAAAAACAAGTGTCTTTGGAAAAGTAGAATAAAATGGTTAGCAATAATAACACTGATATACCATAAAGGACACTAAATCTATCTGTTAACTTTATGCAACACTACACTGCACCATGCTATATGTACCTCTACATTCCAGAGCCAGAGTTCAGAGCAGTCCTCAGGCCCACAAGCCACTATATACATGCTGTCTGGGCTCCAGGCTATACAGGCCACACCATATGCATGTCCATCAAATGTCCGCCTATGCCTTAATTCGTGTGTTTCCTGGAACACAGGTGTAAATAGCACCTCATTACTTGCCAAAGTTTCATAAAAAGGGAAATATTAAATATTTAATTCAATACATCTCCAACTGGCATAATATTTTAGACCAGTTATTCAAGTTGGTTGTCAGTTACAAGTACATGAAAAAGACATCGTGTTCTATTCAACAGTTATATCATATCTAGCACTTACAATCCAGCATCTCATATTTAAAGGGATAATAACTCTTTGTTTTGGCCAAAAAATGAATTTTCCTGGAGTAAACAACAATTTTCCCATACTTACCAATGGTTAATGAATCCATTTTTACATTCAAAATTAGTCCCTGTTTTTTTTTCTAAAAAGTTTGTTTTCTTGTTATAATCACTTTATAACAGAGTATAGCCATCAATGGAGGTCACATGCTCAGATATCAGAATAATAGCTATAACTGCCGTTTATGTTGTACAGCAGAATATATTATATTTCTATGAGTTGTTCACAATGTTTTTATTGTGAAATATAGATCTCATCAAAGAGTTATTATCCCTTTAACCATATACTTTGCTGGGCTCTAACTTGCATACTAAACATTGCACAATACTAAGCATAATATTATTACATTAATGTTTGACTAGAGAAAATGTGGAAAAAATTAAACTATTTTCTATTAAATAGAATTTGATTTTGGTCAAATGTGGATGATTTTATATTTGTCACCAATTTTGAATGGATTGGAGAAAATAATATCCCAGAGTACCCCCTATTACAAATGCTAGATTTCTTCTGTTATCCTTCAACTTACTTTATTTATGTCCCATATGATGAGTGTTCCATCTTTAGAGCCTGTGGCCAGTTTTGTTCCACAAGGGGAGAACTTACAGTACCACACCTCATCACAATGGTCATTTAGTATTTGCAATGTGGCGCAAGGGAAGTCTTCCCTGGATAGAAGGATTGGGATTTAACATACATGGCATATATCACAAAACTTTTCAATTTCACAACAGCAACACAAAGACTAGTGCACACTCCTAGAGTGCAAACTCTGCCAAGGGAATAGGCAAATGCATCTTTTTTCAAAAAATATAAGGAGACCTAGTGCGATGTGAAGTTTAACTCATAGACGGCTATTGCATACTTGTCATAAACACTGGGTACATACTTGCTACATATATGATCCATGAGTAGGGAGACTGCTTCCAGATCATTGTCATACTTAGTGTTGTGATATGGACAGTTCTCTTTCTGGAGTTCTATAGCTTGGTTGAGCAAAGTTTGAAGACGACGTGGTGGCAGCATTACAGTTGGGGGCAGGAATGCTGGAAATAATAAAAAGGAAAATATTTCACTTATTTCAAGCAAAAACTGTTATATCCTATTTTACAAACCAATGCTTTACCAGTAAAGCCTGCAAAAATATAATTTCTAAAATTTCTAAATAACGGGTTTTTTGGGAGTAAATAAAATGACAAATTTTGCCAAAATTAAATGGGAATGTGTTTGAAATTAATGAATTACTGCAAATAAGAGGAAATTTTTCCATTTTTGTGCATTTTTGTTGAATAGTCTCAAGATTTGCAGCATTATTCTAGGGACGAAAACAGATGACAAATCATTGTCAATCAGACTAAATTTATCAAATTTAAGGAATGTCAGGTTTATTCTAAGGCAGATCAAGGCAGTCTGTCCCTTCCCACCTCGCATCTTTCTACTTACACTGTAACCTTTCCATGAGCTTCTGTCTTGCTTCTGGTGACTTCCCCTCCCAATCTGCCATCTCTCTCAGATCTTCAGGGTTGTTACACATCATAAACCTAAAGAGCAATAAACATAAATACATGTTACCTCTCTCAAATTTTAGTCACGTATATTTACACATCTTAAACCTAAACATCTATTCATATTTAAATTCTTAGATCTTCAGGTTTCTTACTAATCATAAACCTTTCAGAATTGTTACACAGACACCTAAAAATGTATTCACATTTAAATTCTCTCCAGATCATCAAGATTGTGACAGCTCACCAGTTTGGCAATACAAAACTTTTTATACGAGTATAGTTTAGCACTGCTGTAGTTTTGATGGTGATATAACAGTAGGTTATAAAGATAACAAATAACAAACACAAAGATATAAGTAAACTATCAGCTCAGCCCGTACTTACGAGCTCAATTCATGCACTCGTTCTGTGTTAAATTTAAGTGGTGTGAGTTCATTCCTCAGCACATGTAAGGCATCTAGTACACTTCCATCTTCTAAGTATTCAAGGTATTTCTGCTCCAAGATTAAAAACTTCATTTTCTGAAAAAGATGTTTAAGCATTAGGTAAATGCCTTCTGTGCAATATTTATTAAAAAATCAATTGTAAAGAAAAGTCTTTTTTTTTTTTCAGTAAAAATTTGTTCTTGTCTTAAGAAGTTAGTGGTGACCAAAACATGCTTATAATAAAGCAAATAAATAAGGATTTGTCATTTCAAAATTCTTCAACTTACTCTCTACTGCTACCTGCCCATAAAATCAGCAAATTTCTTGTTGTACTTACCAGTGACCCTTGTTGGCTGTCCACTAACCCTTTGAGTTCATTGAGGTCCAACTCAGCCTGAGAAATTGAATCAGGAGGTCAAGCAAAGAAACAACAAATCAGTAATAGAGACATAAATAAGGAAGTACAGAGAGACAGAGGATGAACATTGATAGTCTTAGGAGTTTGTTCTCCTTATTCCTTTTTAAAAATATAAATAAATAGTTTGTGAAACCCCGTATGTCTCTTAGCATCATTCACCAGACAAGATTCCATAAATAAGCCTTCACAAATCAAACAATTCTTTTTATAGCCAATCTGGTAGGACTATCGTATTTCTTCTGCTTTATCAGGTTAATTTCACACTTGAGTAACCCTCCTCTCTCAAATATCTAAAGTGTACTAGTATTTTAATTTCAATACAGTGGCCACTAAGTTGTGGTAGTAAATGTTTTCAGAGGTTTTTAGTAGCTTTTAAGTATAAATATATGGGACCACAAAAAATAAAGTAAGTCATTTTTTCAAAGTGGCATTTTATTGTCTTATATAAATGTTATGAAATGCCACTCAGAAAGACATACATAAAAATTTTCAAACAGACAAACCTATGGTTTATTTTAAAAGCCAAATTCATAAATCACAATATTTTCTTTCATAAAAAATATACATATGCCCTCACCTTATCCCATTCTCCATTCATTACATGTGAACGGAACTTGGAAGCAGCATGATGCTCCAGAGAGCAACCCGACTCTTGAATTAACTGATCAACAGTGCGACTGAAAAAGAGAGAGAGAGAGAGAGATTATAAACAGTAGTTAATTCTTATACAGAAATAGCATGATGGCATAGTTGCACACATCCACCAAGCAAGAACACATATATATATGCCTGCCAATATATTGAAGTGTGATTACTATATACATCAGCATTATATAATTTGAAATGTAGCTCCAAGAAAGCAAATAGAAGCTGAAAAACTCAGAACCCAACAGAGCAAGAACAAAACAACTTTATGATCAAGTCAAGATAGAAAAAAATTCTATTTTCTCTTACTACCAGTGCATTCAAGTTAAGCCTTCACTTTTATCCAATAAACTAAACCTTATCAGTTCTGCAATTGCAAATCAATATTCTTTTTTTTTCTTTAGCTTATAAAGGATAATTGTCTGGATATACCATTATATATATGTGAGCTACATCTCTGACACAGTATTGGTTAACATATATTATTTACATATTTATAACAGAAGCCTTAATAATTAATAACACAATGTACTTGTTTCTAGACAATCATAATACTTAAGACTAAAATTCAACAGGTATTTAACAGAGATGTAAATAAATTCACTTAGGGATTTTAAATCTGCCTTGACTTTAATCTTGCCCATGACACATACGTATTTAATAATTTATCTTACCAAACCTAATGCAAATTTTGACTGCTAAACACCTGCATGTCTTTATAGAAAATACACTATTACGTGCATTATGTAACATAAGCTTTGCATGACTAAGTTACCTGAGCTTCCATACTTTTCTGCTGTCTGACTGACAATTATTTTGACTGCACATCAACCTCTTTATTAAGCTGACTTTATTACATTAGTCTTAGGATTCATTCTCATTCAAACTATTGGTTTATCTAGATCATTCCTACTGAATTGTGGGCTCTTATTGCAATCAGTCCTGCAGAGTTGGATCAATCTATGTAATATGAAAGTTTCATTGGGAATGAGCCCTTAAAATGAATGGGACATGAAAGATGCATAATGTGCTTTATAGTCAACGGATGGCAATATAAGAAAATAAAAATATAGGCACTTCACTGTCTTGGCCCTAAGGAGATATTAACCTGGGGACACAAGTTTTTTTTTAACTGGCTTAGACTGCAAAACTTGAATAATCAATTATGTAAAATTAACTTTTCTTTAATTGGTCTAGGAGCTTGACAAAGATAAGCCTACAGAAAATATTGCCCAACCCTTGTCACCATGCAATGATATATTAATTATCACTGTCAAGACAATCATAATTTGCACTATGTTCAAAATAAGGAAAGCAGTCTTAAATACAATAACTCTTAGGAGCATCACAAAGTCAGCTAAGATTCTCATTAATCTTTGCTAAGACCAATTGTCAACATTAGTCATTTTATGAAACCAGTCTTATAAGACATTATAAAATTAAGATTAACCTCTATTATTGGCTGGTGTTCCAAGTAAAAATGTATAGCCCATAACTTTTCATTGAACACAGGACTACTATCCTGGCCTTTCAATCTTGAAAGAGAAGACTATACAAGTAACCTACCACATGTTCAAATAAAAAGCTTGACCCCTTTATTTGTTTCCCACCTGCTTAGAAAACATCAAACTTTGAAATGAAATAAAACAAATGCAAATCTTTTGAACATCTTTGGTTCTTCAATTATTATCAAATCCCATCTGAATTCATATAACAGGTATTAACCACTTCACGAATATTAAATTTTTGTTTTGACTTAGCAAAACAAATACGCGTCTCAACAAAAACAACAATAACAAAGGGCCCATACTCAAGTCCGAGTCCTCGCAAGTGTTGACCGATCAATCGGACGATGTCCCGGTCACTTTTGGTCAAAACTTTTGGACATCGAGCTAGACTAGTCTCTGTCCCAGCCTGTCCATTACTCAAAGTCAGACTGGCTCCATTTTGGTGGACCTGCGACGACGTGGAAGCAGCAACCTCCCCGTTATGCTGAGGGCAGCCATTAGCTTGCATGTTACTGGCAGACACTCGAAGCTTTTTCCTCGGCGGAGAGGGGCTTCCACCGTCGTCGGGCTCGGAGGACGATTCCAGTATGACGACCAAACTTCAATGCGGCCGGCAGCAACCGAGACGGGAATCTCACTGCGCCAAGGTCCAGCCTCTCCAAAGATCTTTTAATCAGCTGATGAAAACACTGTCGACTTGCTTTATTTTGATGAGTGACGTCATGAGTGCCGCAAGGACTTGTGGGAGATTGCAATTTCAAATCACACCTGATGCATTTGTTGCCCAACGACAACCCCTCTTCTCCCCCTGAAAAAAGACCTGTTACAGGGGCGGATCCAGAGCTATTTTCTGACAGTCTTCCAAATTATATTTATTGATCTATCCTCCAATTTTGACCGTCTTCCAACAGAAAAAATAAGATACCTTTAAATGAAAACTTGAAAATCTGACCGTCTTCTGGAAGATCCAGAAGACGGCCTAAATCCGCCCCTGTGTTACAACAGAAAAACATCAAACTACCAAATAACCCCTAAGGAAAATTGACATAGATTAAAGAACCTACATGTGAAAAAATAAAACAACTAGAGCAACTAAATTAAGTGTCTTATAAGGCTGTGGATGGTTATTTTCTAGCAATGTACGCCCTTACACATATGACAATACTAGTATCGGCTAATAATGAATGCAGTAATACAGGGGCGGATCCAAGATTATTTGAAGGGGGGTCCGCGGATGCAAAGCCAACCCCCCCCCCTTCTTGGCGTGGGGTTCGGGGTCCGCTGAAGGGCCCCGAAAATTTTTGATCTTTTAGAAGGCGAATGGTGCCATTTGGTATGGTTTAGAGCTATGGTCCAACTAGTCAAAATTCTAATTTCAAGAGGGGAATATTGGTGTGATATATTTTTCAGAAACCGAAGGGGGGGGGGGTCAGGACCCCCCTGAACCCCCCTCTAAATTCGCCACTGTTGATACACGGGATTTTCAATTATTTTGCTGTACTTTCTTATTATCTAAAAGATAGGCCCTATCAAAATAACTTAAGGGNGAATGCAGGGGGCCGTAGCGATAGTCCGAAGGTTCAATAGTCCGAAGGTTCATTGGTCCGAATGTTCACTATAGAACCTTCGGACCAATGAACCCTTGATTAAAAAATCGATGAAAATGTTACCACTTTTCGGACCAATGAACCTTCGGACCAATGAACCTTCGGACTATCGAGACGCCCCCAGTAATACAGGGGCGGATCCAAGATTATTTGAAGGGGGGTCCGCGGATGCAAAGCCAACCCCCCCCCCCCCCTTCTTGGCGTGGGGTTCGGGGTCCGCTGAAGGGCCCCGAAAATTTTTGATCTTTTAGAAGGCGAATGGTGCCATTTGGTATGGTTTAGAGCTATGATCCAACTAGTCAAAATTCTAATTTCAAGAGGGGAATATTGGTGTGATATATTTTTCAGAAACCGAAGGGGGGGGGGGGTCAGGACCCCCCTGAACCCCCCTCTAAATTCGCCACTGTTGATACACGGGATTTTCAATTATTTTGCTGTACTTTCTTATTATCTAAAAGATAGGCCCTATCAAAATAACTTAAAAGCTTTTTTAGAATTTGCAAAAAAAAAAAAATCAATAGAGCCTAAAAACCCACTAAAAATAAATCAACAACAACAATTATTATTATTATTATTATTATTATTATTATTATTATTATAGTTGGAATAAAAGTGAGGTTGGAGAGATTTTTCATGATGTGCACTGTTAAGGGGGATATGCAAAATCCTATGTCAAAAGGCGTTTCATTGTCCAGAGCATCATGGCAGTATAATTTGCATTGACACAGACATCTTTATAATCACCACCGAACTCAACGACGTTATCATAGGAAAATTAATTTTTTGGTCACAATGAACAGTTGTTATCCTTTTAAGGTGAACGAGGTGTTTGTACAGGCCGTCTTGAAAAGGTATTTGTACGTGCACTGGTGCGAGAAGTTCTCCGGTCAGTGTTCGGTGACAGTTTACAGCCCGAGGCATCGGCGTGTCCGGAGTATGCTGCACGAGACACACCAATATCATTTCGCCTGTTTCGTGTTGAACCCCGAGGTCGAACAGTCTGCTTCAAAGAAAAAGGCAAAATGAATTCCAGCACTCGCTTTCCTTTTTGCACTACAACAATGTTGTGTTTGCTAGTGTTGACAGTTGACGCCCAGACCCAAGTCACCGTCAACAATGGAGTTCTAGAGGGTGTGAGAAGGACCGTCGAGGGATTAACTTGGGATGTCTTCTACGGGATTCCCTACGCTAAGCCTCCTGTGGGGAACCTGAGGTTTGCAAAGCCGGAGCCGGCGGAAAACTGGACGGGAGTTCGCAATGCCTCGTGGTTTGGCAGTGGGTGTGTCCAAGAGAAAAGTCCCTATGTCAAGTTAATTGTTCCGGTGAGTAGTTATCATGAAATTGTAACAATGTGAATGACACACGTAGAAATTTGAGAAATGTCCAAGGATTCCTGCAATCAACAGATTAAATATGAAAGGACCTTAAATATATTCCCTCTCGCCAGATTGAGTTGTTTTATTTCTAGCCAGGCTCGTATATACTAAAAGATAATAAGCAAGTAGTGGCTAAAAGTTTCCAGAGATAAAAATCAGTGGTGTGGCGGTCCAACGCCAAGTAGGACGCCACCTTGGTGCAAATGTCACTCTGGAGAAATGTATTTGTATGTATTTCATTTAATCTATTTTTTCTATTTTAACACACCGGCTTTCTTACTCTCTGTAATACAACACGAATGACATACATGTACATGTGTATCCATGTATCTCTATGTACAGCGACACGTAGCCTACGCAATGCCACATTTTTTCCGAATTTAGAGCACATCAAGGCACAGGATAGAAAGACCATACTAGACGCAGGGGTAAATGAGATTTCTTTCGCATATTCACTCGTATCAGAGGAGTGGAGATCACTACCAGTGGCAACGATGCACGGATAGTAGAGTTATGAGTTCTTACTAAATTGAGAAATATATCACAAAATATGGTGGAGAGTGCTGGAGTACATGTATCACAATTACTAAATGCAAGATGGAAGGCGTGAAAAACACGCTGCGTTATTTCGTCAAATTACTCATTTTACAAGTCGACATTGTCGCTTTTAAGTCCATTCATTGAGGTAAAATCTTTACATAGTTTAAGAGAAATTATCTTTGATTTTATTTTACTTGCCTTGGTGATTAGAAAATCGAAGACGACTCGGTAGTCACAGATCGTGACGTATGGGCACAAGTCGGGATATGTGTTGGTCTTAATGTTGAAAAGTTTGACGTTTTCTGGTTTGGTTGTGTGTGCATTACTTTCCAACGAACTTAAACCACTTTGCCGTACAACCGCCCCACAACCGGTAGTCACTAGTATGTTTTAATATCTATTGCTTTTAATATCTATTCTTTATTTTTCATTTTATTTCAGTTATCCGAAGACTGTTTAACATTGAATGTGTATTTGCCAGGGATGCTAGACAACAGCACAAAAAAGGCAGTGATGTACTTTATTCACGGTGGCAGCTATTATTACGGTGGTTCTTTTTCATACACTTTCGATGAGCTGGGTTAGTAGCATATGGTATTTCATTTAATAAAATAGACTTTTTATTTTTGCCCCCCCTTTCTCTCTCTCTTTCTCTGCAGTACTATCTTTGAGCCTTACTGCATGTATGCATATTCGCAGATCATAGGTAACAAAACACCACAAGTACGATGTAACTGAATTCAAGATTTTATTAATGGCTGAAATATTACAAATGCATCAAACAACAAAGAATAATGATCTGCAGCAAACAAGACAAGAAATTTATAGCGCTATTTAAAATGAACATTCTAGCCATTTTCTGAGACGTTAGATATCGCGCAGGCTTCGTGACAAGTTGCAAAAAGGGCTAACAACTGTTCATTTTGGCAAAAAAAAAAAAAGGATTTTCCTGGAGTAAACGACAATTTTTTCAAACTCACCATATAAATCTGCACGTTCCGACATTCAAAGCCAGTCCCTGTTTTTTACTTAAACTTTTGGGTTTTTTAAATAATCTCTACGTACTAATAAAAAAGCGCGAGTGGAGATCATTCACAAAACTACATGAATCACGTCGGTTGAATTATTTTTTTCATTGCATCTTATGTTCTGATGCTAAAGTCCCATGAGGTGGTAAATAACAGGGGCGTAACCAGACCTTTAAAAATTGTACGCACTGATTTTTAAAATTCCCAGCAAAATGTAGACTAACGCAACAGATGAAGGACAGCGTAATCACAGCATATGTGCCACACATCGCAGCTTTATTTTCCATTAATAATAAAATCATCATTTAGTCAGAAATATTCTCGCAATTAAAAAAGTTTCAATATTCTTATTACCCAGATTTATTTAAAAGGAGGCTAGCTTCGCATATGTGGAACCCCCTTCGAATAATCCTGGATCCACCTCTTGAGTTGAACTAACATACGGTTTCATTCACCTTACAGTTTAATTATTTGTTTGTAAAAATTGCCCATGTCACCCTGTTAGTTTGGAGGGGTTATAAGCTGGATCAAGTCCGTGTCAAAATTCTTTGAAGTTTTGCGGGAAAAATTCTTCCTTTGTTTCTCTAGCTCCTTATTAAGCCTGGTGTCCAGATTTTATCTAGTGCCCCCAGGGTTGCGGGAGCTGCTCTTTGAAAATAACACTCAGGCAGATTTTTACCCGAGATAAATATCGCCACCAAGAATGCGTTCGATATTCTCAAGAAAGAGGCTACAGGAGAGTTGAGGGCCACTGAACCCTCCAATTAAGAGGTAAAGGAAGTTCCAGTTAGATGGACGATTAAGATAGGACTTGTTAAGGTTACAGGCATTGTTTACCTCAGTTCAATAAAAGAATGCAAGACAGGGGGGGGGGGGGTCAGAACAATTGTGCCTATACAATTGATACACAGGATTTGTACATACAGGTGACTTTAATGAGCAGGGGATTTTCTTTTATATTCCGTGAAAAATACTCTAAATTTATATTAAATAATATCATGGTTGGCCAAAAAATTGTACGCACAGTGCATCCGTGCGTATGCCTAGTTACGCCCATAAATAACGCGAAGTCGTCGGCCCCTTTTCTTAACCAATGAAGTCGCCTTTATCATGAAGTTGTAATATACCGGGGTCGGATAGAGACAGTCTTCTGGTTCTTCCGGAAGACGGTCAGATTTTAAAGTTTACATATATTTTTTTTTTTCTGTCGGAAGACGGTCAAAAATGGAGGATGGATCAACAACGATAATTTGGAAGACTGTCAGAAAATATCTCTGAATCCGCCTCTGTATACCATAGCTATGAACTTAAAAGACATACATGAATATAAAGAAGTGTGAGTTAATTTACACTCATGCTTGAATACCGTCAAATTGATTTAATTAATAATTTATTTAACTGTCATCATGTTAGATATATGATGAAGTTACTCCGCTGTTACAGATTTGAACTCCTTTAAACTATGGGTTTCTCTTCCTAACCATTTGCTACCACATAATTTTACAAATTAAAATCTTATTTCTGCATATAACATCATCAAAATACACGATTTTGTTTTAACATCGGAAAGGTATATCGCTTGGCAATAACCAGTGCCAAGATATTCTGATCAAAATGGGTTTCTTTCAATTTTATTTCAGTTTATAAATTACATAAAACATTTAAACGTATGTTGGGGGGGGGGGGGGGTTCTACGTAAGCATGTGAAAATTAATAAATCCGATTTTATAATTTTTTAGAGATTTTATAGCGGCGTCGGGAATTAAACGTACGCTGCATATACTGCTATCAAGAATTTGCTCTATATACCCGATAAACTAACGCGCACGTTGCGAAATAACATTTAGAAGCGCCTCTCTGCACATGCAAGTAAGAGAGCCGAGGTCTAGCAAGGCCGAGACCTAAATATTGCGGACCTACATGAAAGGAAGACCGCGTAATCCTTTAATAGTCTCTCAATGTCAATGAATGTCATTGAGAGACTATTAAAGAATTACGTGGCCTTCCTTTCTAATATAAATGTTTTCTAATACCACTGCGTTTTTACGCAGCTATCCTATTTCGGAACAGCAGACCCTCGGATTAAAGATAATTCGGAATACCGGGCCCTCTAACCTTTGGAATATCGAACCCTCGGAACAGCGGTCGATTTTTGAACTTGGCTCCTACAATCTTCGGGATATCGGACCCTCGAAACACTAAACCCTCGGAATACCCCGGTCACTTTGCCGCTGCTGTACTTCGACAGGTAGATTGAACACGATGTGTCACGTCTTTTACCTGGTGTTTCAAACCAATTTCTGATTTCTCAATCTTGGGATTTTCTTTTCCATTTTGGTGCATAATGATAGATTCAAACTTAGTTTATGATCATTTATAGAAAATTAACAGGTAGGTTGTAAGAAATCGTGCAAAAACAACTCGGATTTTGAGACCCATTTATTGTGACCTACTTTCATGCCAAAGAAATCGATCATTTAGTAATTTTACTTTATAGCCGTCACTTGCGTCATTCGTCGCCTTCGTCGCCGTGCACTTTCAGAGATAAGGAGGAATTCCATTTTACTTTTTGTCTTCAAACTTACAGAACTGCTTAATATACACAAAATACACACACTTTGGAAGGAAAACTGTCTTACTTATTATTTTGGAACTTATAAGCATGATTCTTAGGAATGGCATACAGCTCAAATTGGAAAAACAGCTTGACAGGATTATTTTTCTTGAATTTATGCATTTTTTGTGAAATTTTAATTTTTCTCATTCTGGCATTTTTAGTGTGTAGATTTTAACTCTTCTGAGCTTGACGCTCTATGCTTGTTAGATATTCTTAATATTTGTGTTACCTGTTGCACATAATTAAATTTTGCATTAAAATTGACAAAATAACCTATTTTGTGCATCATTGTACATATGACAACCTTTTGCATTGATTCTCTTTATTGGTGCATGCAGGTATAGGCTATTTTCTTCAGATCAGTTGTAAATTTATCGCTTAAGTTAATGATTTCAAAGCAATAATAATCCGTTTTATGAAAGGAAAAGAGACAATGGGAAGTATTTGGGGAAAAAAGATGCATCTGGGTCTGATGTGGGCAGGTTTTGGCTCAGGGACACATCCAAAACTAGCACGAAATCCATGCGCTATTGATGATTTTTGATATACAAGCTGTGCTAACATAACAAAAGTCATCAATAGCAGTGAATGTCATACTTATCCAACACTTATTTTGGAAATTTGGTTTGGCATATCTCATATTTTTAGCTCTCCGTGGCGACGTCATAGTGGTATCGGTGAATTATCGCCTTGGAGTGTTTGGTTTCCTGTATTCTGGTGATGCCAATGCCCCCGGCAATGTGGGATTATGGGATCAGATAGAGGGACTCAAGTGGGTGAGAGACAACATCGCCCATTTTGGAGGAGATCCCAACCAGTGAGCGTGATTTAATTATTTATTTTCAACTGTTTGATAAAATCTAAGAGTTGAGAAGCACAGCGTTTAGTTTAAGTGGTTTACACTTTATAGTTAATTTATCATTTTTGCTCTAATGGGTATTCGAAAGATTTCTACTTACACAACAATTTATCAAATGCATTTTCTGTAATTTCTATTACCAATTTTCCCTTTTTACATAGATAAATCATAAAAACAAAACAGCATTTTGTGATGCATTATTTTTATTAACCATTTTATTAATTTTTTCACTACTACAGAGTGACCATATTCGGTGAATCAGCTGGAGCTTCGAGCGTCACCCAATTGGCATTGACCACAGCTAGTAGCGGGCTCTTTAGCCGGGTGATAGTTCAGAGCGGGACCCTCCTCAGCACCTGGGCCTGGTCGATCACTCCCACAGTTCTGGCAGAGGCCGTTGCAACTAATTTAGGCTGCTCCAGTACCTCGGCCAGTCTTGCTTTGTGTACGCAAAACAAGACTGCAACAGAGATATTAGATGCTGGTGCCGCTGCTGTTGGTGAAGCAAAGGGTTCCTTTGGACCTGTTGTAGATGGCGACATGTTTACCAAACCAGCAAGGGAGATTCTTAATGATTCGTCGTCGAAGGCTTTTACACAATTCCAGTCGTTGGATTTTATGGCAGGGTTTCTTGATGGCGACGGAACTGCCATGCTTACAAATAATGTTGAAAATGGTCTCTCACTAGAGTTCCTGGAGAGAGCTATTCTTTTCACAGCATTTTTGATTTCAACACCTCACGCCGAAGCCTTAGAGGAGAAGATTAAAGAGGTATATTACGACACTACAGCCTCAAATATAGACACAGCCAAGAGCTATCTGGACCTCCTGACTGATACAAATTTTGCTTCTGGCACTGTTGAATTGTCCAATAACCACATGTCGTCAAATGCCTCCACTTATCTTTGGTACATGACTGTTAAACCTGACTTTTCACACATTATCCCTGCCCCTACGTGGTTCGATGGTGCTTCCCATGCAGATGACCTCGGATACTTGCAGGGAGAGTATATATTGGGTCTAATCACACCTGGAGGCATAGCGACGACTGCTGACAAGGCCTTGTCCGTTAACGTTATCAGATACTGGACAAACTTTGCAAAAACTGGGTACGTTTGTGAAAACATTGTATTCAAAATGCAATCATTTAAAACTGGTCCTACTAAAAATGCATATAGTCCCACTGACGGCACCAGACGAAGAGATGACATTGGCACGTCGCATCTCAAAAATCTTATTCCCTTTGCTTACCGAAAAGGTTTTTGGTGCCATGCAACAGTTAGACTTACGGTTGAGCTGTGCTGGGTTCACTTTCAAAGAAGCCTTGTATATGAAATAACATTTTCTTGCATGATAAAAATAACAACTATTCTTTAAGATGTACGAAATGGCAGATCCATTGAAAGCCCCCCCCCATTACTTCAGAGGTACCCCCCTTCCCCTCCCCAAAAAGGTAAATAAGGATCAAAATGAGACAAACAACATGCAATTCGTCCAATTCCATAGCAACAGACTGCTTAAATTGTCCTTGTCTCCCGATTAAATTTTATTTTATGTCTCTCCCTCAGCAAAATCCTGATTTCCCTAGCATGTAAGATAAGTTGAGAACGATATATGAATTAAATGACACACATTTTCTTACACAGGAATCTATAACATTAAACATTTAACATGTAACATTCAAAATTTGAAAAAAAAATACTAAATATATATTAGGTATTTAAAAGTCATTCTAAAGATGTTAATCTTAACTGACACTTGATTTATTTTCCAGGAATCCAAACTCGCCCGATCTTGTACAATGGCCAGGCTACACAAAGGATGGAAAGGCATATTTGGAGCTATCTCGAAATATTGCTGCTAAGAACGATGTCCTTTCAAAGCGCATGGCACTGTGGCAGGTGACCGTCCCGGGAATTCTCAGCGGTGAAATCAGCTCTGCCTCATATACCCACAACTACCTATGGTCAAGAGCATTACTCACGATGTTTTTCGGTTATATGACATCTCTCATTTTTTCTTGAGATGTTTCAATGATGCTGTTGCCATCATGTAATCATGATATTTGAAACCAATCGAGACCCATATGGCGGTAGACTGGCAAAGTGAAATTTGTAACAAAGAATTTGACAAATTGTGCAAAAAACCTTTTGTGCTCTCAGTTTACCGATTCATTTATTAATTTACTATTTAGGTAACTGAATTTGAACTATTTTCAGTAATTTTTTGGGGTGTTCGAGTTATAATCATATTATCTGAATCCCTTAATGAATGTTACTTATAAGAAAAAATTATCTTGCTTTCAGTTGTATAAGGATTAATCAACTGTGATTATCTTGGCTTCATCTCCTTGATAGGACTATCATAAAATTGCAGATACTTTCATATGATGTGGATTAAACTGTATTCATATTATTTACACTGAACAAAAAATATTAACTCCCCATGTGAATAAATTGTCAAATGTAATGAGGTACATTCAATAATCTGTAGCACGTTGAACAACAAAATTCACTCTGTATGATTTAATACATACATCATAACAGTGATAAAATCTTTAAAGCACTGTGTGGGAGACTGTGGGACACATATTTTAGCTCAGTGTTAATCAATTCTACCTATTTGCAATAGACTGTGCTAATCTTCATTGAATTACTAATAAATTATGAGTGCAGAAAGCCTGTTGAGCACTGTTTTTGTGAGTTATATTAGTCACAGCATGTCAGTACATACAGCCATCACTTGGGCATGTCCCTGCTGTCACAGCTTACACAATATTTGGAAAACCTTGTGACTAATTATCTTTCAACTTGCTGGAGTGATTTATGGTGCAATATATAAATACAGGGCAAGTTTGAATAGCTGCTTTATTGGATTGTTTTTCTGAAGGTTTTGAATTTTTTGGTGAGATTTTCATTTGGGAATTCTAGTGTGTGACTGAAATCCCCTGGAAATGAAGCCCTTTGCTATTAACATTTCCTGAATGTGCATGTTACTGGTACTTTATTAAAATAAGTGGTGAATAAGGCTTTTAAACAGTATGTGATATTGCATCAAAATTGACAAAAATCCTTTATTTTGCAGTCACCATAAAAAGAGATGAAAAGAAAAATGTCTTCGTTGAAATTTATGCAATAAATATTGTTATAGTGTCTGTCAGAGACAATAACAAAATATTGTATGATTAAATTTGGAATAATTATTAAAAACTACAGTGGCTGGTCACCAAATGCTCCGACATCTTACATATAAGCAGAAGACTGATTGAAACAAGACTTCCTTTACATTTTAGTGTTTTTCATGACAGGTGAAAATGCCTACTTCTCATCCTGAAAGCATTCTCGGCAAAACATGTAAAAAATTGTTTGAGAGGTCAGGTACACCACTTGATTGTAAAGTGTACAAAAAGTTGACTTTAGTCAGATGTGTTCATAACATGCACTCGTTCATTAAAAATCAAATTATGAATTATGATTCTGATAATGTATCGGATTTTAGTGCCCGAAAATAAGATATGATGGATGGAAAATCCACATTTATTTTAAAATTGGATGCTTCTAGGCAAAGATGTCATTCACTTGTCCTCATTTACCAAACGTCAATTACATGAGGCCATGATGTGCAATATAGTAATGGAAGAAAAACAACGCTGTATTTTTTATAAGATGGCATTTTTATGATCAATTTTCTAATCTGACACATTATTAATTAAGTTCTAAAAGGTTTTTTCCCATTAAGAACAGTATGAGGAATATCTGCTACATGATATGACATATAAAAAACTGACAAATACATATAAAGTGAAGTTTAAGTATTTTGAAAGAAAATCACTTTTAGTAAAAATAGGTCATTCACTCACTGTATGTATATATAATAGTAAAAGAATACAAACAAGTAAATGAAATTGGGATTTAGTAGTAAATCTAAAGTTGCTACTCCTTCAAAAATTACTCTGTATTAAGAGACAGCATGAGGAAAAGCAGAGCTGTTTCCACTAGTAAAATACACGAAATACTTCAGTACATGAAAATAGAAACAGAAAAATTAAAACTGACCAAAATGTGATTCTAAGATAATCCTAGTAATAAAATCATTCTCATTTCCTCTTCACATGGTATAAATTCATCTAAATGATAAATACTGCTCGTTAACCAAATAATATTTTTTTCTTCCAAAACAGTGTCTTAAGTCTTCTACCTAATAAATAATAAACTTTGACACTGTAACTATAATATTTACTATGACACTGAGGGATTGCCAGAGCACCAGAATAAAACAATTAAGTGGTCTCAATATAAAAACATTGAATTATTGGCATCTGTGTTATATTCAAACCCCAAAAAGTTAAAAAAAACTATTAAAATAATTCATGTTTGAAACACCATTACAAATTGTCTTTTCACTCCACCATTTCTTAGGTTTATAATAAAATGAAACCTGGTAAAATCTTTAAAAACTCTACAGGACTGTACATGTACAAATGACAATTGTCAAATACTGTTGAATTACTGAGCCTTCCTTCCCCCACTCTCCTGTCATGTCTTGTAGCGTTCCTGTGGCAGTAGACCTGCACGATGACAAGTGAGGCAACAGAACTTTGAGAAATACTTGTGATCACATAGATTGGCCTCCACAATGAGGCTGCAGTCAGCGTAGAATGGCTGGTCCAAACAACCAGGGGGCGGAGGGATGACTAAAAAGATATGGTGTATACATACTTGACAAATGAAATGTAGGATGACATGTTGCATTTGGTTTGATGACTACATTTGGAATAAAATAATGCACGTTGTGGCATTTAATAAGAAAGATCCATTCTACAGATTGTAAGACATACTGCACAGGCTAGCTGTCTGATTTCACAATGCTGGCATTTTATATTATACTGCTGACATGTTATGCAGAAAGTATGATCCTGAAAGACTTATTATTGCAAAAGGAGAATAAGTTAAATTAAAACATATTGTAATATAAAAATTTCCACTCACATTTTGGCTTGACTGTGATAGTTGTGGTGGCAGTGACAGTCTGCACATTGTTGGAAGCTCTGCATGTGTAGTTTCCGCTGTCTGAGGGGATAGCTTGAAGAATGGACAGATCTCCTCTGTCAACCTGATTAATAATACACAGCTAATAGATAGTGATCCAATGTGTTGTCAGGAATACCACTGTATTTTGTAAGTTACTTGTGACAAATTAGTAAATTGTGAGTAAGAAATTAGTTTTTAAAAATAAATCTATCAACAAGGGAAAAATGGAAAATTGATTTATCTAAACGAAATTCATCAAGCATAATTAATAACAAAAAGATTCATCAAGCAAAATTAATAACAAAGTTGCACATGTACTCAAGAAGTTCAATCATTAAAAAGTGACAAAAAGAGCAGTGTTGTGTTAAATTGATAAATTATGAAAAAATAATCAAAAATTCTGTTCCTTACTCTTAATAAGAAGTCTCCCTCAGGAAGCACCTGCCCATCCTTGAGCCACTCCAGCCTGGGGACAGGATAGCCTAGTGCTCGGCATGATATGTTCACAGTGTCATCCTCAGTGTATGTGGTATTGTGCACAAGAACTTGAACAGAGACATCCTCTGGAAATTGACAAGTATACAATTAAGATATGATGACATGGTCAGGGTACTTTCAAAATTCATAAAACAATTATCTTAGCTATATAATCAATTATTGTAAGTCCTTGTGATAGCTTGCTTCATAACATTTGATCAAAATCAAATGAATTTTCTTAAATTTGAATAGGATTCAATCAATTTTTTCATTAAATCAATAACAGACTTATGAAAGTTTTGGATCTCTATTTTCTTGATAACCCAACAAATTGGCAGCTTTGGAGCACAATATCATTTAACTGTTGGTGAGGAAGTGGACACAGGTTTTGGAAGTCTCTGCTTCTTGGGCCAAAACTGTTTTATCACTGAGACAAGAAAAGATACTTAAATGGATGTAAGTCTTTGTTTTTTGTGAAGAATCACCAAAGTTCATTTTCAGAATTCATATGTAAAATCTAGTATTCTGATCGCAGGTGAATCTTTCATCAAAGCTTAGACTTCTCTTTGCAAACTTACGCTCTAAACTCAAAGTAACCGTCCTCTGAACCAGACTTATGCCATTGTCAGCAGTACACAAATAGTCTCCTTCATCTTGAGGGTAAGCATCTGCTATGGTCAGAGTGTTGTTCTCATCCACGCTGATTCTGCCATCATTGATGACAACCTCTCCTCTCCTACTCCAGGTTACATTGGGGGCGGGGTTGCCAAATGCTTCACAGAGCAATGAGACGGAGGCTCGGGGTTCCACAATGACCACAGAGGGTCCAGGAGCAATTGTTACTGGAACTGTGATTTAGGCATGGGAGTAAGTATAAAACTGTGTTCATTTTGCCAAATCCATCAATTAATAAAATAAATAAGTAAATGATAAAAAAAAACAAGAATTAAAAGAAAAATAATTCTAACTGCATTAGTCTAGATCTAAAAAATCTGCAAGAATATACACTTTTAAATAATTCATATTAAGACATCTTAAGACACATACTTAATTACAGCTTAAGATGATCCTGAGTCATTTATATACATACTCGTGACAGTGACAGTATAGTCTCTGAGAGCTGAGCGTCCCACACCATTGTAAGCTCTGCATATAAATCCTGTAGAATCTGAGGCATTAGCCTTGGTAATATCCAGAGAACCATCTGGGAGGACTCGGTATCTCCTCATTAAATATGGGACAATTGGGAATCTACAAAACAATACAGAAAATTCAACTCAGAATCAAGTGTTTTTGTTTTGTGCTTTTAGTAAATTTGTCTCATGGCGTATGTTTATTTACAATTTTATTAACTTTTCATGGTAATATATGGTACACATTAACTGCATATTGTTTCATATTCTACCCTTAGATGTTGTAGTCTGTAATGATGGGGTTATTTGTGTTTATGGAATGAACAATATTCAATGAATAACATGCAGTCTTCATGCTGCTGTAAGTTAGCATCCACTATAATGTCAAGTAAAAATCCAAAATTGTGGAACACTGACACTTGATATGAAATTTCACACTGCCACTGTATGAATATCAATAACAAATCAAATGCTTAACTATCACCAAGTAACTACTGAAAAATTATGCTGGATACCAAAACTAACCTGTTTTTATACCAGGTGATCTGTGGCATGGGAGACCCCTGGGCAGTGCAGGTCAGGGTGACTGACCCTCCAGCCTCTACTGTGTATTCTGTATCCCCAACGTCCAGTATGATGGGGGCCTCCTCTGGGCACCCCTGCAGGCTGTACCCCTGGGCTGGTGTCTCATTGTCTAGACAGCAGCCATAATCACTGGTCTCACAGCCTAACTCTGGAGCCTCTGTGGTTGGCACTGAAATATATACAGTATAAATATAATAGATTAAAAGGAACAAATTTTATGATATCTGGTTGCTGTATGTTAATATCAGTCCTACCAGTTGGTGTCACAGCTAAGTCACTGTAATAATAGGTATGGATACATATACCTATACATTAGACAAAGTGAAGAAGATCAGGAAAAAAACTTCTCTTGATAACAAAAATACAGACCTATCATTCATATTGTTGAAAAAATCCTCTGAAACATTATGTCCAACAGTTAACTATAACAGAAACATTACTTTTTTAACAAAAGTACTAATTTGACTGTCATCAGCTCACCCTCTTCATAAGGAGCCACACACTGTGTGCCACATCCGTTAAAGCAGCACTTGTGGTCTCCATCACAGTCCAGGTCCACGTTACACATCTGCTGGCACTCACTGGGGTGATCTGCCCCAAAAGCAGGGCAGGCTCCTGGTTTGATTCCTGAAGTAGGCNACAGTTGGGGTTTTAAAAGCAATGCTGTGTGTTTGCAAAATTATGTTTAAGAAAATGTCACCTTTATATCAAGTTTGTCTGAGAGGAAAAGATAAATACGATTGAAGCCATTTACTGCCTTCTCTTAAAAAAAAATCAAACTCCATCTGTTCAGTACACTCATGACAGCAGGCAACTGCTTCTAAAATATTCATTGCATTAGAAGTGATTTTGTGTGACTGAGCACAAGCTGTGTTGGATGTTCCAGTTCTCTGATAGTCCAACTATGTCAATATTGAGTTTAATACCCTCTTGTATGTTGGCATTCAAATGTGATAACTGGTAGTTTTGGTCTGGTATTCAATCATAAAATTCAGAAGTTCGAGAGAGACAGATGTAACTTACTTGCATTGAAATCTACTTAAAAGTTTTACTGAAGTTGCTCTGTACAAATGTGCTCCATAAAACCTTGTTTGATATGAGCATGTCACCTACCCTTCTTTTGGGTTTATATATGATCTAATCTTTGAGCAGTGTAATATTGGCAAAGCTATATGTTCAAATAGTGGAGTTATTGGTCATTTTCACTATTACAGCAATCAGTAATCTTAATAGATTTTGAGGGTAATACGATTGTTTCTTAGAGTATTCTAAATAGTACATGTATTCTCAGAGTAATTTTAGTATCACTTACTCTGCCTGCATATAGCCACCAGAGGCTGGCATGGTTCTACCTCACATTCCATCTGTTCCACTTTACATTCAAAGTTCTCAGGACATACTGCATTCTGAAATACAAGTACATTAAATATTATGATAAATTAATAAATAAATAAATAAACAAAAACACAAACTTTTTTTAGATGAATGTGCTTTAAAAACAAATCCATATGCACTTATTATAAACTGAAGTATTTATATTCAAAAGTCACAGAAATAACTTGAAACAATTACATAATGGGTTTCCAAAACAACAAAACATAAGGATTTAAAACTTAAATTATTTTATTGTTTTATACCTGACAGGGATCATAGCATTGGCACTCATGACAGCCATCTCTATTCTTCTCAAAGCCATAGGAACAGTTCTTGTCACAGGTGAACATAGGACAGGCTCCTGGAATAATTCAATACATGCTTGTCATTCTAATGTGTGGTCTCCTAATTCATGTCTTTAAACAAAAAATGTACACTGCATAAGTTTGGATAAAAACTGCAAAATTACTCAATTTTCTTATTCAGTATAAAACTCACTTCTAGCTTCAGTGGTGACCTCTGGTGTTGGAGTAGTCCCTACACCAGCATCCACAACTACAAGAAGTGGTGTCACTTCCAGTGGTGTAGTGAAAACAGGGTAGCTAGTGGATGTGGTGGTCTCTATGTCCTCATGGTGTCGACCTTGACCTTTACCTTGACCTTTACCACACCTCTCCACACAATCTATGATGTTCACAAAATTGTTCTCATTGCCTCCACAGCTGCCGTAAGTGAAGGGTTCACACTGCTGCGTCTTGGTGTTGAAGTAATATCTTAATGTGGGGATGCGACATTCACCGACTGCAGACGGCAGGTTGCAGATGTTATCAGTGCCAGACAATGTGTTCACTAGGGTATGAGATAAAGATGCATAGGTCAAATCTTGATTACCAACCAAAATATTAGTTGTAATGAATATGGTAAGGTGTTTTCTGTTGTTTTTTTCTTTTTGAACAAAATGAGTCATGGAATTTTTTTCTGAAGTTTAGGTGGTTGAAATACTGATGAAAAAGGGACACTTCCATCTTTACAATATTGACTTTTCTAAATACAAATATATTAATCACATACACAACTGTAGTGATCAAAATTACCTTTTTTGGCTGGACATCTTTCTTTTTCAATGCACCTCCCCTCATGTAGTACGGGTTTCTCTGGTGGACACTGGCAATGGGGAACACACTGAAGTGTGCACACTGGGTCAGGGTCTTCACACGTACGGACACATGCTGAACCACAGACTGTAAATACCATTTCACCTTGGCACACTGAAAACAAAACAAAATTAGGTTCAAAAGAAGGAAAAGCTCTCATAAATTTGATTTTGGTACAAATATTACTTAACATTTTTAGCAATAAACCTCATTGCTTTATGTGGCATTTTATAAATATCAGCATGTTAAACAATAAATCTAAGTATTTCGATTACAGAAATAAAGGGTACCCAGCACTCATGCATATAGTTGTAATTTAGCCATCTTCCTCACCTTTCTGAGGTAGCTTAGGGCACTCATCAAGGCTGATGCACTTCCCGTTCTCCTGCAGAGGTTTCTCTGGTGGACACTGACACCTGGCCACACACTCCTGAGAACACACCGGGTTGGGCTCACCACACGTACGGAAACATGCTGACGGGGAACCACACTCCGTGAATACCTGACCTTCTGGACATTCTGAACATGGAAAACAGATCACACTGGATATCAAACTGAGAAGGTTTGCTTCTTTGTTTTTTATAATCTTTCTTTTCATCACTGACACCAGTTTACTTATTCCACTAACTGTATTGTTTATACTCACTATTACATCTAACAACTTATCTGCTGGCACACCTGTCAATTATGCCGACATCACGAAGTATCTGTCATAGTTCTCTGCAGTATTATATACATAGTACATACAAGTCTGATAGTCACAATTACATCAGCCAACAAATCACAATCACATCTAACACAGTCATCAAGTTATCATCTAATTCCACTGAACATAATCCTCTGGTAAGTTATATGGGTCTTTCTGGAGGACCTGGCAGCCAGCCACACCCTGGTACCTGATCACATCCAGTATCACAACTAACACATTATAATCACCTTGTTCCACTGGGCAGTATTCTTGGGTAATACATCTTCCTTGGTGAAGTATGGGTCTCTCTGGAGGACACTGGCACCCAGCCACACATGGGCGTGTACAGACTGGATTGGGGTCACTGCAGGTTGGACTACAGGCAGTGCCACAACTTTCAAATATCATGTCTGATGGACAGTCTAAGAGAAAAAATTACCATCATAAAAATACTTAACTTCTGACCAAAACATTTAATGAAGGACACTTGAATGGAACTTCCACTTAAACATTAGACTCTTACATTATTTTCAGTTTGCTGACATACAATGTAAGAGCAATTAAGTTGATGCAGTTTTATAATTGTACATCGATAAATAATTGATTTACAGTTTATGATATGTACCTCAAAGACACCTAAAGCTAGACAAGATCAATTAACCTTTAAAATAAAACTCTCAGGCTCATCAAATAATTCCTCTTATTACCTTGTTTGATTGGACAATATCTAAGGCTAATGCATCTTCCTTCGTGCCAAAGTGGTCTGTCGGAGGGACACTGACACTGTGCTACACATTCCCGTGTGCAGACAGGCTTAGGATTGTCACATGTACGTAAGCATGCTGAGCCACATCTCACAAATTCTTGGCCACCTTCACATTCTGCAAATAAGAAAAAAAGGTTAAAATGCTACTACAGTACACTCAACATATTTTAAAAATTTAATCTTGTATTGTGCTAAGACCTTAATTACCATTTCGATATGTCACAATATTCACCATAATCAATTCAATTTACATCAGGACTAAATTAAAAAATACAAAGAGACAATTATCTCAAGGCTTTGATATTGCTCTACAAATAGGATTCTAAAGCTTGTAATGTAATGGTGATGTCTTATCAATCACTCCCTGTCCAAACTTAGTTTATATTCAGGTGAACACTGATCCATTATCACCTTTTTGTACTGGACAATAGTCTTGGGAAATGCACCTTCCTCTGTGTAGTATAGGTTTCTCTGGAGGACACTGGCAGCGGCTTACACACTGATATGTGCACACTGGGTCTGGGTCTTCACAGGTACGGTTGCAAGCTGAGCCACACTCCATATATACCTGGTCTGGTGGGCATTCTGTATGAACAAGATCAGGAGAGTCAGTGAATTAATTATCACTTAGGTTGAAACCCAAGTCATGGTTTTTAAGTCAGCATGGCAAAATTGCCCAACCTACTGCCTTCAAGTCATTTTTGATACAATCTGTATGTCTTCCAACACAAATCAAAAGACATCAGAATTTGAAAACAAAAATTTGCAAATGTTCAAACCTTAATTACTTTTAAACTCGTGTTGCTCAAGCCTCATTTAACCAAAAACTGACACAACTAACACACTGATTTTACATCTACTATGCCGTACACTGTGGCACAGCTAACACACTGAAACAACTGGCAATCTGTTGAAACATAGACTTTGGCACAAATCACACACTAGAATGATCATAAAGTGAAGTCACCTAGTGGAGCTGGGCAGTACTTCTGTGTGATACACTTCCCTTCATGTAGTATAGGTCTGTCAGGTGGGCACTCGCAGCGCGGCACGCACTGTTTCGTGCAGAAAGGATTGGGTTCTTCACACGTGGCAGCACATGCAGACCCACATGAATTAAATACTTGACCACCAAGACAAACTGAAATATGAAAATACAAATTATCATATCAAATTTATGTGCAAAACACGATTAGCAAGTTAGAGATCTTGTATCACAGACGTGAATCATTCTTTATTTTGTACTATCAAAAATTGTTATTAAAATCAATATTATTAAAATTGAAAGCTAGGATGACCTGTACAAATTTCTCATTTTGCTGAATATGATAAATATTATAAGGTTCTTTACCTGGAGATGATGGACATTTTTCCTCAGCAATACACTCTCCCTCATGTAGTATCGGTCTGTCTGATGGACACTGACAACGTGTTACACACTTCAGCGTACATGGTGGGTTGGGCGCATCGCATGTGCGCACACATGCAGAACCACATTCCATAAACTCTTGGCCATAGGGGCAGTCTGAAAAAGTTTGTCTATATAGTAAAATCTATCATCAAACCTATGAACAAATTTTAATGCAATGCTGACTAGCATCAAATATCTTTTATCATTAAAATGAAAATCATCTCAAAATGCTCTACACTCTTTTCAATACTTCTAAAAAAATATAAACTCTTAAAGAATATGACCCATGGTTTTAAACATGATAACATGAAAGAACCACATTTAACAAAACTAAGCACACTGAAGAAATATTGCAGGCATGCTGATAGCTCAAGCACCTGGTTCTACACCTTTTACATTTAAATCACTTCTCAAATACAGGGAAAAAACAGTAATTGTTCCCCTCCCCTTTTTTGCATAATGTTTAAATAATTGAAATTTATGTTTTAGTGATTATAGTCAAACACAAGCTATAGCAAATTCAGTTTGGCACGTCAGAAAATTACTGCCACTCATAAAGTAGTTAAATATATAAAACAAGCTTGTTCAAGATGAAACTGCTTTTATAAAAATAAGCTTTCATTTAGTACATAGTCATACAACATGCAGTTAGCAGGATGGCAATAAGCAAACTACAGATCACTACTGTCACATACACTGAGATGTATATAATGTGTATATATGTGTAACACTGGATACAGCCATATTATATGTGACCACACCCACCTCTCTTGTCAGCGTGCCTCAAAACACACAGTTCATTACACTCTTCTTTACTCGCAAACCGGTTGGCATTTCCATGACAACCACCATATGAGAATTCCCGACATTCTCTTAAATTGAGGTTATAATACCACTGGAAAGTGAAGTCTGTGCAGGGTCCAGGGTCTGGGATCTCAAAGCACATGTCAAATTCTTCTGCAAGACAAGAAGCATGCATGCAGCAACTAACACCATGCAACTTGGTAACATCTTTCTACAAGAGACATATGGACAGATTCTGCAACCTTTAGTTTGTTTCTAGGTAACATGCAACAACAATCTCTCTAGGGGGGACACCTTAATTCTACGGACATACTGTCATGTTTGTGAAATTCTTAGGCTTCCAGATATTATACCAAGATGAAACATTGCAACAAGACAAGATGTTATGTTAATAAATTTACTTATTCCCGTTATTAATTCACACAGCAAAACACTGTGCACTTATGTTATGACAAACATGCTTTAAGTTAGAAACTATAAAGTGAATGTTATTATACAGAAAAAAGATTCTCACCATTGTTATGCACAGGTAAATTGTCAATACAGCTGCAAACATTCTGTAAGTTAAGATTTTTACACGCCGACACATATCTCTCAATGTGTTAGTAAATATACATACCAGTCTGCGGCTCTGTTATCTTGGGACCTGGGTCTGGAGCACCAACTGTAGGTGGCGGCACTGTTGTCACTTCCACAGCAGGCCTTACAAGCTGTGTAGTTGCCACAGTACTGGGTGGTGGTGTGGCATCTTGACAGAATAACTCACACTCTTGCCATGACTGGAACCGATTGTTATTTCCTCTACAGCCGCCATATACAAACCTGCGGCAAGCTCGCGATTCTGCATCGTAGTACCAGGTTGGAAAATAGCCCCGGCATGGCCCATGGGATTTGTGTTCAAAACAGGCTTCTAAAAAGAATAAAATATTTTTGAGAAAATTAGAATGTAAGAAAAATATAAAAAGGAAAAAGAGTTAATAAAAAAACTCTTAGTGGTGAATTTGGTGAAATAACTTACGTGCTGACCCTTTTCACCCTTCTATTAAGACATATTAATTTCTTAATCCAAGAAAAAAATATCACCTAGGCAATCTGAATTATGCATAGTACAAGTTTTTTTACTATAAACCACATTTCAGGCCCATCATAACCCACAATTACCCTGTCCTCTGTCTGCAGAAGGTTGGTCTGGTTGCAGGGGTACACCTGTCTCTGGTTGTGTTGGTTGAGTTATCAAAGTCTCCTCTACCACAATCCCTGGCACACCATTGGGTCTCTCCGTTGGTCCACCACATTTCTCAACACACTCCTCTATGGTGTGGAAACTGTTCCTGTTATGTTAAAATGCCAAGGGATGGATGTATTGTATGGTAACAGAGATCATCTATTGTGGAATAACTTGCACGGAATTTATGGCTGTCAATTTCTTATAATTTTCATTTACACTGAAAATTAAGTGCCCCCCTGGTCAGATATCAGGTATGATAATAATCCAACACTGTGAATGCTAGGTTGATTGAGGTATAATTGTATTATTATTTTATTGTGTCTGGAAAGATTCTGTTAGATGTACTTCTGATGGGCGTGATTGTGATCAATGCAATTGTGTTAGGTGTGATCGTTTTGGACAAATTGTGGGTACATTTTGTTAGAATTATAATGTCATGTGCAAGTCCTTTTGTCAGTACCATCACCTATGAAATGGCAAGTGAATTCTTTGAACTTCAACAATTGTGTTTAATCAGAATGGCATAAGTATTGAGCAAAGAAAATGGTTCAAATTACCTGTTGCCACCACAACCACCATAGAAGAAAGGCTTACACTTGCCCTCCTTGCTGTCATAGTAGTAAACCTGTGAGAAGGCCCTGCATGGACCCTGATCTTTGGGCAACTGGCACACATCTGGAACACATAATAACTTGAGGGATGAAAAGAAATGGACGACAAGTCTATCTTCAATGCACCCAATGTGTGCATTATCCCATCTTCCTCACTGAAACTCATCTATATTTATTGTGGTTTGAGTGGGACTTGATCACAAAATAAAATAAAAAAACCATAGAGCCCCAGATAGTCAATTAGCTACATTCGAACAACATTTATACATTTTATCAATAGAAAGCACTGACAATTTCGGGTTAATGAGATTAATATTTAAAGTTGAGTGATTAATTTAACTAGCAAACCCATGCTTGCACATAAAGGAAAAGCACAAGAAGCAAAGCAAACTAAAGGCAGAATAATAAGCTTCTAATATTCAAGGGACAAATTTGTTAGAAAACACAGTACTGGTTCAAACTTTCAAACACATTCTTCACAATACTATGCAATTGAAATGTCTTGTAGTTTTTGAAATTCTGGCAGTTAACATTTGGATGACTATGGGTTTTCCAACTGAGATGGCTACAATCTACCTGAAGAAGGCCCTACAAGCTGTCTATCTGCTATCCTGGTTGAACACTCAGCCATGCACTCTTCTTGGGTAAGGAAACGGTTGGAGTTACCCAAACAGCCACCATACTCAAACTGTGTACAATACCCCCAGGTGGCATTGTATGCCCAGTAACTAAGGCTAGCCAAGCATGGTCCTGGGTCCTTGGGCAATAAACAGCGGTCTATGGTGATGACTGGGGAATGTTAAGTAAGTCAGAACATCATGTTGTCATTTGATACACACTGGCAAGCAGGCAAATGCACTAAGGCATTGTTCATGTTCTAACTTGTAATTAGGGTGTGAGCTAACACTAGCACAGGAAATATCAGCCAAATGCTCAAGGCATTCTAATTTGATAAAGATATATGTAAAACGTTCTTTTTTGGCCAAATTCATGATTGATTGGGTTAAAAGACTTGGCTAAAAAGTAATTTTATCCAAGAGTGAGCCCAGTAGACAAGAACACAAATAATTTAGAAACAATCTCGTCTACTACACACCACAGTTGGATGATGTCTGGTCTAAGTTAGTCAGTTTATGAACATAGGAGATTATTTTTATGCAAAAGGACAAATTTAGATTTCTTTCAATACATCTACTTTTCTCCCACTGTGAGTGCATATCTAGCTATAGGCATAATACAGCAGAGTTAAGGAACCTACTAAATAAAATACTATATTGCAACAACACAAACATTAATATGCAAAGAATATCAGCAGACAATATAACAGACAAGCATGCCTTAAACCATAGTGAATGACCAACAATGCAATGCCATGCTCATTTACAAGGTTCTTTTTCATTAAGGGTTTTTCTACTGATCTACAGAATATACATATTCACTTCTTGGTATACTAAAATAATTAAATCCCACCACAAATTATTATAATTGATATCTCATACAAATTTTCTATCTATTTTTAAGTTTACATACAAGGAGACAAGAAATAAGGAACTAAAGGAGTAACTACTATATGATTAACCTAAAAATTTTACCTCCATCTTCTTGAACCTTTGCACTGGTAGTTGGCGTGACTTTGACACATTCACTTTCACATTCAGCCTTTGACTTGAAGTTGTTTTCGTTGGCATTGCATCCGCCATATTGGAACAGCTCACAAAGCTTAATCTCCTGGTTATAGTACCAACGGGGCACCAAAGCTTTACATGGACCAACCTTTTTAGGTTGGCTGCATTTGTCCAGTGTTAGAACTGGAAAACACCATGAAAATATATAATGTTCATTCACAAAATTTATTTAGAAGTATAATTTTGTCATGCTAAGGCAACTGCCCGTATACTGTTACGGTAATTCTCCAATCTATACGAACGCCGCAATAATTACGAACGAAACGTTTTTTCTCTTAATCTGAATTTTTTGTCTCCGTTCTGTACGAACGATCGCTAAACTCACCTTGGGCACAATTTAAATTTTCCGAACGCAAGAAAGTGTGCCCAATTGAAACTCGCCCCATGATTCGTCAAAGCGAGTTTTCAGACCACCGTTCCAAACAAAGGAACTGCCACTTGACAGGAGAGATTGTTATCATGTATATGTGCTGTTTTTGAATGAGACGATAGAAGGACTCAACCTGCCTGCCGGCAGCTGCAGGCTAGTTTTAAAACCCTATTGTTATTTAGAAATTATTGAAAGCATCAGTACACATAAATTACTTACTGTTTATTATCATTTCTTAACTTCTGCCGGCCGACTGGATCATCAACATCCACTATCGGTGTTTCACCGATAACTGGTTTCCAGTAAAATCTATAAACGTGAAACCCACGCACAACAGAAGAGTATGAAAAATCCATAGTCAATGATCGAGTTTTTCTTTGTTTTTGGTAGTCATTAGGAAATTAAATTTTTTAAGAGGAGTTCTGTCTTGTATTGTATTTATTTTTTTAATTTGAGT